TTGATAGAATTATAATGTTTAAAATGTTACCGCAAAGTGCCAATAAACAGTAAAATAAAAGGTACAGTTCTCCATAGCCAGTATGACATTTACACTCAATAAAATATTCGGTTCGCAATTTCCAACGAAATAGAAATTTCTATCCATCGTTAAAAGAAGAGTACTATTTGCCAGTTCAGTCTGTTCTTATTTAACCTTCAACTGGAGATTAATGGTATGGAACACCAATTTCCGTTTCGTGTTGCTTGCCTTTTCTCAATATTTAATTACTGTTATTATTATGTAACATTATACACCAAACAACATATTAGTAACACCAATTTTTGTTGTCATTACCACGTGTACAATATCGACAATCCTGTAATAAAATCGGTAATGCGGACACAATTATAAGAAAAAAATGTGTTTATCCCTACAATATATAGCCATTGGTTAAATATGTTTTATATTTGAAAGTTTTTTTTATAATCACACATATCTTAAAAACCACTAACAACAAAGAAACAACAAAAAACAAACAAAAACAACAAGAAAATCAACAAAAATCTTGCAATTTAGAAATGTTAAATATTATATGTATGTATATATTTTGTTTAAAAAAATGACGAGCATTAAAAAAACAAGTTCATTCCAGAAAATGCTTAAACTCTCTGGAAAAAAAGTTTTTTTCGTTTGTGCTTGAGAAATTCGTTTATCGTAAATGATGAACATCTTAATTAATGTATCTTATATCAAATAGCATGCAAGTATTTCATGGAAATAATAGGATGTAAACAGAATTTTTTGGTGAAAAAAATCGAGCGATGCCATATCTTTTGCAATGTCTTTTTTCCACATACATTAACATCGATAAATCGAAGACAAGTCTACCACGCATGATCTACTGATCTGAAATATTTTCGGCAATCGTCGGCGGTACCCATTTAACATCATGGCCACTGGAACGCTTGAACCCGTAAGCATTATAATAGTACACACGTACCTAAAACAATACAAACAATGGTTCATAATGGTTGAAGACAAAAAAAAAACAACAAAAAACAACAAAGCATAATATGAACAATAACATTCGTCGCCTTTAACATGATTGAGGGGCTACGGTATCAGTATTTGAGTAGAGCAGTGACATACATAAACATACATAATCAGTTATCATTTAAGTATGACTACAATATCTGTACACACAATATATGATCTTAAATATTCACTTCCCAGTAACAAACAATTCTAGAATATGAATATGTTAACAAAACATTATATTTGTGCCTGTGAAGATATAATTTCATTATAAATTAAAGGCAATTTGGGCTAAAGCGCCAATGAAATATATAAGCTTAGCTTGAATTTGAGTATCACGGCTGTAGTTTGTCATTTGGAAAAAATCCTTGTTTTCGTTGTTTTACAATTGAATGTATACAAAACACTAATTATTTTGTTTAAAAAGAACATATATTGAACACTTGTAACAGCTACGGTTATAGAAACCGATATTTGGTAAACAATACTGTCTCGTTGATCGTGATTATTGTTAATGTTAAACATGTTATGGGAGCAACAACAAATGCAATATTAATTAGCAGTTATCATCTTACAATATTACCATTGGTTAGGAAGAGGATAATACAAAATTACACAATCCCACAACGACAAACAATAATTACTTTAACATACATTGTGACATCTGCACCGTATGCTATTGTTAATCTTATAACATTTCACACTTGTGTTGTCAGACGACTCTTGTATTCTATTAATTATTGACCCTTTTATAGATCTATAACAAATATACGCTACGTTTTATTAATGTTATTAGTACGTAAACATGTTGTTATCTTGTCTCATAGCACTTAAAACTAATAATAAATTCTTCATTAATCAATATGATATAATTACTTTCATGAAATTATACGAAGCCAACCGAGTAAGGTGCATGGTTGTTTTAAAGTAACTACCTGAAACCACTTGTGGCTCAAACCTTATGCCACCCGCTTAGCTCCATAGGGAGAGCATCAGATTGGTAATCCAGGGTAATCGGCTCGATCCTTGGACCGGGCGAAAATTCTTCGTTATCTCGAGCCATTTTTCTATCACCGTTGATATCGTCGGTGACCTGTGGTGATTTTGATAATTACTAGTAATTAATCAGGAAAGTCAGGTGGACAGACCGCCGAGTGACCAAAATGGTTTATACGGAAAGACATTAAACTTTAATACAAATACACACAAAGAGTGAAGAAAGTTGTTTTGTTTGTTTTACGCCGATTTTAACACGATTTTGGACACTCGGCCACCTTTTGGTTTCGTTATCTTGAATTTTCACCATCGTACTTTCATCTTTTTCATCATCGTATTTTCGAGTTTTCATCATCGTGGTTTTGCAATTTGAGATAATTATCACTTTGTTGAATACAATACTGATTTTATACTCAGTACTATATTGGACGAGGCATAAAACACATGTATATGCACGAATATTCAAACAGAATCATTACTTTACACAACAATGTAACTTCTTTTTCATAAACCATTTTTTTGATATTTTGACAAAACTTTGCTACTCAGAGTACACTTTGGGTTTGTATATGGAATTTTTGGATTTTAAAAACAATGCTAGACGGTGTACAATAGTGATTCGATTCGATATGGATATTTTGACTCGGAAAATGAAAACAGTTAAGATGAAATACAATAGTGAGACGACTTGAAAAAATGAAAACGAGGCTAAATTTAAAAGTTTTGCTATATTAAGATCTCATGCTGCATACGCTGGAAGCTCATTGGTTACTTTCATAAGGAGCGGACTAATTACTTTTTATCGTGGAAAGTAACTCTAAGCAAAATATAATTACATTATATTTTTTTCTGGCAATTTTGCGTTATACATGTATACATGCGTTATTTGAAAATATTGATTTAAATATTATCTGTTAGCTTTCTTTGATCTTGCACATGTTGATCTGATATTTCAACAACAAAGAAAAAAACAAAAAAACAACAACAACAACAACAACAACAAAACAACAACAACAACAAAAACAAACAATTATTTAGCATGATAAATTGTATAATGATATATAATGATATAATGACTTCTCTGAAAATAATTGTGCATAATTTATTTTTCTTTTATAGTTCATGATTATGCAGCATTATTGCAATTTACTTATTGTATCAAATTTCTTTTCATTTTAAAGCATGATTGATTGTTTGGTACTATAATTTGTATTTTTGCGTGTCTTTACCATATAATGTCATGAATTTATTGTGTATGGCGATATAAAATGTATTGATTGACTGAAAACTTTACAAATAATATCTATATTTTGTCTGCTTTAACTATAAGTCTGTATTGTCTATATACTCGTCTGAGTGTTAGTCTGTGTCCTAATTAAGTCTATTTAAAAACCCGGAAGGAAAATATGATTTATTTTGTTTTTATTATGAAATTCTGAAGATCAGTGTTTGGGAGGAGTGAAATTATCAAGTGTGACAGCTACATTAAGTAGATTGATTTAAAGGTACATTGCATTTCTTATTCACCTGATTCTATCAGCATTTTAAGTACTGCAATGAGTGACAGTTAAATTAAAATTAGCCTGAACATTTTTTTTTCAGTAGCTTTTGATTATTTGTTGGCTTTTACAGCTTCTACAAAGTTACTCGTTTGGTTTTGACGATTAGTGCACTTAAAGCTGCATGCCTCCAGATGAGACAAAATAGTTTAAGAAAATCAAACTAAGATAACATATTAGATGTAACGGTTTAATTAATAATTGATTTACATATATTGTGCGATTCAGTAATTTTATCACCATATTTCTTCTGTAACCAACACAGCAAGGGCTATTTTTGTATATTTTGGCGTCTTTATGGCAATTTACGTAGATTGTAAGTGTCATTTTAAACGTGTAAATGACATTTTCTGTTCAGTTCCATTTTTTACTTCTTAATACATTTTAAAACATTTTCATGTAAATTAGCATAAATCTGGAGGCACGCTGCTTTAAAGTGATTTAGTACTTTGTACGGAAGTCAAATCCAACTTGGTTTACATTTTGCTACCTTTTTCACATTTAAAGCTTTTTTTCTTCATGTGAAAAGTATGTCACATATTCTAAATCCATTATAACAGCATTACTAAACAATATCCATTTCTGAAGCTAAATGTGCCTTTATCATGTTTGTAAAATTGGTATATTTAAGGTTATATTTTTGTCAATTGTCTAAGATTGTTATGTACATCTTTATCCGTGAAGTTCTGCCATGTCAAACAACGTAAACTGTTGGCTTATGGGATTGTACGAGTATGTACCTGTCTTTTTGTTAACATAAAAGCCTTTCTGTATCTTTGCAGACATCAGCCCAAACTCAAAACCAACGTACAAAACAATCATTAAATATCGATAATAATTATGGTTGCCGAAAAACTTTCGTCCTCATGATCGCTCTTAAGTGACAGACAGTAAGGATTGTGGTTGATATTTTTCCAAGAGATATTAAAGGAAGGAGCAGTGCAATTACTAACCATGGAGATTTGAAGGTTGTTTTATTTGTTTGATTTATTCGTTTATTTGAATCGTCATTATATTGTTATCTCAATGACATTTCTTATAGATCTATCCATTACGTTACTTGTTTTCGTGAACTACAATTGCGAACTGAAGCCAACTATGGACGTTTATGATTTGAATAATGATTTTACTACACGCTGCTATATCTGTTAATTTCGTACCTATAATTTAAGAGTAAAATGTTTCTATTTTTATTCCGAAAACTTTATTTTTGATATTGGTTTGTAGTTGAAGTGCTGCATCCCCTAAATTACGACATACATGTACAGTTGTATATATTATTTTGAAATTTAAATCCTTGTTAACATTGCAATTACACGTACAGTTTCAAGATGTATTCTTTTATAGTAGTATCGTTATTGATCTACCTGATAAATTATGTAATCAAGTTAAACATTCTGTAATCAGCTAACTTTTTTCTGGTCTTTGATGATGTTTTCAGGTGTAAAGGTTGGCGTCAAGGTTGCGGAGGGAAAATCTAAGGTGGTTTATATAATACCTGAAACTCATCATGTCTTACTACACTCAAAGGATCGTATCACTGCAAGAGACGGGGAACGGGCACATGAAATGAAAGGAAAAGCAGAAATGTCCACTACTACAACATGTGTTATCTTTGAGTTACTCAACAACGCTGGTAGCTTTATGATTTTTAGCCCAATGTTCCTATTTAAATGGCTTTATATATACGTTTAATATAGTTTTATCATGTTTAATTGCATACGCATGAACGCATACTCACACACGTACGCACAGACGCAAGCACGCACGCACGCACATACATACATACATTAATACATACATTCACACAAACATACATACAAATATTAACGGTCTTGGTCTATCTGTAATAAAAACAACAACAACAACAACAACAACAGGGAAACACATGCTTCAGTACACCCTGTAGCACACGTTCTGCCTCGATATTTATCCCAGTATGGCTACGGTACTGGCTTGTATTAAGAAATAGTATGGAAACTTGATAAAATTTTCTGTAAAAAACATTCACTGTCGAGATTATAAAACTTTTTTTGAGATCTCAGGATTTTCATTTAGACTCGGTGGATATTCTGTGCTGGTTCTAGCAAATCAAACACCTGAGACTTGAGTTTGAGCTTAAAATTCTTTATACCATTGAGTGCAGATCATTGTTGAATGTTTAAAGGGGTCTGATTAAACGCTCTGTGAGTCAAGCCAAGGAAAGGGTATTCATAGACTCTGATACATCTAGTATCAATCATGAGACTAAATATGTAAATGAGCTAGTAACTTAGTTGATAGAGCTGCGTAATGGTACAGAAGTTTCAAGATTCCGTACCATCTAAAATACCCTAGTGTTATAACATTTATGGTACTGTAAATGTTAAAATTTTATCTAACTTGTTTCTCTGATTTTAAGTCGACTTTAACACATTTTTGGTAGTATCTTGCCAGTCGGTCGTTTTCCTGAATAACTGACCAATATAATTATCAATTCCTCGCCTTTTATTCACTACTTTGGCGTCTCAATCGGACTAGATAAGTGACTTCCATCTGTTTCTAAACTGCATGGTCTTTGAAGGTATTAAAACCCATTTCATCAAGCGTCAAGGGAAGACAACTATGGTTACTCACCGATGTGATATGATACCTATAGAGTGGGTGACTAGAAGATTAGCCACTGGTTCTTTCTTAAAGAGAAATCCTGGTGTGACGGAGGGGTATAGATTCTATCCTCCAAAACTGGAGACTTTCTTAAAGGTTTACTCTTGTTTCATACAAATAAAAAATCTGTTTATGTATGATAACATATATAGAAACATTTGTATCCCTTAAATTTCTATTATTTTATCATCTACAAATGTATGTAACATAAATTAGTGTTTATAATATAGTCTTATAATCAAAGAAACTATATATATGAATTTCAATTTGGCAAACTGGCCTACAGATCGTCTAGTTTTTTTGTTGTTTTATTTATATGATGCCTTTTGTAAATTGACACAAATGTTCAATTTTTAAACATGATTTAAATCTTTCACATCTTTGAAAGCACGATACAGATTGGCCGAATCATGCCTCTTAAAATTAAGATTTAAGGGAAACAAGAAACGTAACTGCGATTGTTTGGAAACAAACTTTTATTTATTTTGCAAATGGAGAAGGGTTTGTTGACAGGAACTGTTAGAATATAGAACAAAAACGTACTTTTATTGAGTAAAATCTGTTCAATTATTTCATGTTTAGGATGACAAGAACCATGATCCTCAGTGGTCATATGAACAGTGTATTGAGGCCAAACTGACTGCTGGACCCCGGATCATTGGTCAGTATGAGATAGATATTATATCGAGAACAACGGTCACTGTGTTTGAAATTTTAGAGAAAGCTTGGGCGTCCTTAGGTTGTTCTCTGATTGACATGAAGGTAGAGTTTGGAATAAACCATGAAACTGGTAAATGTTACAATCTTTAATTTGCACGCGGAAACATGACTTAACTTCTTTTGAAAAGAGAAAACTATAATACAGTAGCTAATATGTTTGGAACCCCTACAAAAGTTATATAAATTATCCCACTAGCCTCAACAATTGGCGAGCAGTTCCAAGTAACATAGTTTACATATACATACAATAAACACATCTTACAAATATTTTACTAAACTGATCACTGCCATGGGCATTATATATTTTGAGTGTAGCGTCACCTTGTCATCCTCTAAATATAGTTGTATTATGACCCGGTGTCAATTTGGCAATTTACAAGTAGTTTATATAGAAAACACATTTAAACCTTTTGAAATGTACAGTGCCAAGGGATTACACCTTTTTTCATGTAAGTTTTAAAATTTTAGCTTATCTGGCAAAACGTGATTTTGTTGTGAAAAAGAATTAATTAATTTGATTGCAGTGAATTTCACTTTTAAAATGATTAAAAAAAACATTTTTTTTATTTCCTAAAGCCATGTTATAAGAGTTTTTACAGCGTACATTATTTTTCTAGGTGAGATATTGTTAGCTGATGTCATTGATAATGATTCATGGCGTTTATGGCCGGCCGGGGATCGCCGCTTGATGAAAGATGTACAGGTGTATAGAGAGTTGAAGGAAGTCACAGCTAAAGATTTAGACATGGTCAAACGTAACTTTGAATGGGTAGCTGACAAAGTGTCTGTAAGTGAGCTTTAGTATTGCATTTTAGAATTATCTGAATGTTCTGTTACTGTTACAGTTACAACTTGGTCATGTCAAAAATATCATTTGGGCCCCGTCTCCTCCAAATATTAATTCGCCTAATTTACTTTAGTTGAAAAACAACTTTCCATCCCGTTTCGTATTCCAAATTTTCTGTGTTCAATTCTGTTCTGTTAATTTATAGATAATTCGTCGCTTGAAAACTGTAATGTTCTATTAGACAAGACTGATTTTAAGAAAATATGAATGCTAGAGGCATTTTATAGTACAAGTAATATCTTGAGTGTTTTAACCTAATATTGGTATGCTGAAGACGATGAGGGTGGATACCAAGAAAATAAAAATTGACATTGACCTTTAAAAGGTCAATTCAAAATGGCCGCTTGAAAATACTAAAATAGGTCATTAAAACTATGATACAATATGATGTAATTAATTATTCTTGTCAAAATCAAATGATTATTCAATATGATACGATTTTAATGAGATTGGCCACCAAATTTAGCGATTATAAGCATAATGGCTCAATTAACAGTCATATACAGTACTGTTTTACTAGCGCGTTAAGGTATAAGACTAAGATTGAATGTTTTAATGATTTAAAAAAAGATTTAATGTTTTGTTTACTTGACCTATATTTAACAATAAACTTTGTTTATAAATATTACCAAAGAATAAATATTTCGTAATAACAAATTAATATTTCGTAATTACGAATCAATATTTCGTAATTAAGATTTTATATTTCGTTAAAACGAAATAATATTTCTAATTGGGAATTATTCTCTATATATAAATGTAGAAAATGTCACTTCAGGTGTTCCGTAATTTTCAACATTATTTGTAGCTATGATTTTTTTAAGTTGTTCATTTTGTTTTCATATATTTTGCACTTGGTTTAAAATAAATATTTAATTTTTTTTTTGAAATGTCAAAAACTTACTTCTATTCATCTTAATTACCTTAATTAATCAGGTTATATAGTCTCTTAATTTTTTGTTTGTTTTATTTTTACAGTCTGAAAAATACATTCCTCCCACATGCAAAACTGCTCTTGATGACATTTGGGCATATTTAAGTTTACCATCTTGTTTAAAAATAAGTGACTATTTAATTTGAAATTTAAAGTTAAAGTTAAAAACAAAACCAACAATAACAACATCATATTTTCAACGAGTCAGAAAATGTCTGAAACCGGGAGATTGCTACGTGTGTTTGCTATACCATGGCAGCTCTCGAAAATTTTGGAATTCAGTCACGGTTTTGAGAAAATTCTACAAGAAGATTATCACATCATTCCTGGTACCCTCCAATAAATTTCCAGGATATCTTAAAGTAACATCAAAGTTATTTTTGCAAATATTACTTGTAAAAAAATGAAGTGATATTTTCTTTGACCATATATAAAAGTCACGTGGGTTGGCTACATAGTAGAGGTGTTAAAATATAATTGTAATACACCTTTTGTTAGCCATTGAAATAGTGTTTTATGTATAAAGGATTTTCAAAAATGGTTATTATTCAGAGCGGGCGCAATGGTGCAGTGGTAACACTGTCTGCCTACAAATCAAGGGGTCGTGAGTTCGATCCCCCGCTACTCCACTACAAGACTGACAAAACCAGGACATAGACACAGAATGACGGTAACGATAGAAACAAGAAAATACCTTAACGGAGCAGGAAACAAGTAACCAAGTACAAGACCGAAGAGGACGACCGATAACGAAGGAAGAACGGAGACAAGCACTGACAACAAGCGAACAGAAACGAGGACCGATAGAAACAAGAAAATACCTTAACGGAGCAGGAAACAAGTACACGACCGACAACAACCGACAACAGAAGGAAGAACGGAGACAAGAACTGACAACAAGCTAACAGAGGCGACGACCGATAACGAAATAACAGGACAAGCACCGATAACAAAAGAACTGACAACAAGACAACGGAGACGGGGATCGATAACAGAGACGGAAACCGATGACAGAACAACGGAGACCAGGACTAATTACAGAAGAAAAGAGACGAGAACCGATGGACAAGCACCGATAACAAAAGAACTGACAACAAGACAACGGAGACGGGGATCGATAACAAAAAAACAGAGACGAGGACTGATGACAGAAGAAAGGAGACGGGGATCGATAACAGAGACGCAAACCGATGACAGAACAACGGAGACCAGGACTAATTACAGAAGAAAAGAGACGAGAACCGATGACAGAATAACGGAGGCCAAAGACGAGAACCGATAACAGAAAAACAGAGACGAGACCCGATGACAGAATAACGGAGAAGAACAAAGACGAGAACCGATAACAGAACAAGACAGGGACCGATAACAGAAGAACTGACAACAAGACAACGTACACAGGTACGAGGATTGTTGACAGAAGAATACGACGGGGGTCGATAACAGAGACGGGAACCGATGAAAGAAGAATTGACAACCTGAAAACGAAAACACAGGACTAATTACAGAAGAAAAGAGACGAGAACGGAGAAGAACGAAGACGAGAACCGATAACAGAAGAACGAAGCCGACGACCGATAACAAAAAAAAAACAGAGACGAGAACCGATAACAGAACATCTAACAACAAAAAAACTGACACATCCAATTACAGAAGAACTGACAACAAGAGAACTGCGACGAGGACCAATAACAACAAAACGAAAGTCACGACCACTTAAAGAGGAACTGACAGCAGAGAAATGCGACGAGAACCTATAACAGAAGAACGAAGACGACGACCGATAATAGAAAAACGAACACCAAAACCCAAGACTACTCAGAGAAATTAATTAATGTATATTTTGCATGCACACGTTTTAACCCCTCACTAGCCACTCTATATGCGTTCATAGAGTCCCAGATAAAATACATGAAAGCTCCATATCAAGCAGATAGGACAGGAAAGAGTGTAGTGTTCGCCTTTAAGATGTCCGTACTATCTTTAATATAACTTCTATATTACTATTATATTGGCATATAGAAAAATGTCTGCCATCTTGGATTTTCGGCCATATTGGATTGTCTTTTTACATGCTTTGTGACAAATTTCAGGCTTTTCCTTTCCTTAAAAGTTTTATTTGATCTATCATCCATTTATGATAAAGAAATTTGGCGGCCATTTTAGTGGTCATTTTAAATGGCCATTTCAATGGTCAAGATCAAGTTTTTCAATTTGGTATCCACCTTTATCGGATTCAGCATACCTTAAATAGGTAAAATACACCAAGATACCACTTGTACTACAAAATGCCACTAGCATCTTATAGGGAGCCAAATTCTCAAAATCAGTCCTGTCTATATCTCCAAATTTTCCAAAAGCAAGTTAAATACACAATTTTGTTCGTAATGGACTGTTCTATCTCCTTGGCATGTTATATTAGTGCTTCAGAGCTTCATAAATGAATTACAACAAAACCATCCTGTTCTAACTCCACAAATTCAGTATGTTTTGATAAATAGACTGTTCTAACTTATTGGAGCAATCATATGATCGATAAATGTCATGTGACCCGTGGGGGCATATGTAACAAACTGTTCTAAATCCAAAGTACCTTATCAAAACATTGCATTAAATCACGTGATGGCAGGACACCCGCCATGTTGTACGAAACATTTTGAGCTAGCTGGTTATACAACGTTTGCTGTTTATTCATATATTTGTACTAAATGTAAGTATTGAATAATATTATGTATTCATAAATTTACTCCAATAATTGGCATTTTATTCTTAAGTCCTATGAATTAACTGCATGTGATTAAACAGGAAAATCAAAGCACTGAATGTACTGGTGGGGAGGCTATGAGAGAATGTTTCAGACTTATAGTGTCTTTTCTTTTTGCTTAAAATATGCTACCAAAATAAAAAGATATGCACATTGCGCTATTTATCCTTACTGTTGTGTTCAACCATTCATATATATGGTTAATGTGGTTGACTATTCATTTTGTTAATATTCCAGAACATTTCATTGAGGTCTACATTCGGACTGTTAATCATACAAATTTTGAAAAACCTTAACTGTCAATAATAAATGACATACCAGCAAGTATGACGACTGTTCATTATCAGATAACAATAACATTTTACAACTGACGGTTCCTTATCAAAATCACAGGAACTTGAAATTCTATCAAATAACCAATATTAATTATAATATCCAAATATACAATATACTATAAAAAAACACAAACACAGGAACTTGAAATTCTATCAAATAACCAATATTAATTATAATATCCAAATATACCCCCTATATACTATAAAAATTTTTTATAGTATATAGGGGGTATATTTGGATATTATAATTAATATTGATTATTTGATAGAATTTCAAGTTCCTGTGTCAAAATATTCTAGGACTGTTCATCATAAATACTTTATGTCATTTTAATATTATTGAATGATAATAACAACTGCAAGTGATGCAACATTTTTATTGAACATAAAAATTATACACGTTTAGATGTACCATAATTGAGATCAATAAGATACTGTCTTGTGATGAATATTAATATTCATGCTCTACGGACAGAAGGTTGTCTTCTCCAGAAGCAAATCTCGAATAAAATCACGTTTCAGAAAATTATTCCCATTTCATTACTGACGGCGTCGGATAATATTAAAGCTAAATATTTCTTGAAAAAATACATATCTGCAAAGCTTATTCAAAACTGAATCAACCTAAGTGAAAATTGATCAGGAAGTTATATCTTCTTTTTTTACCGTCAACACTCAACCAACTAATGGTAGTTAATCGATAGCTTGTGTATTTTTAAACCTCACTAGCTTGAAATATATACTGCGGAAAATCTGTTGTTAACAGGGTGTGCGGTTATTACGTAGGGTTTTCCCTGTCTACCATTTCCTGCAAATAGATGAGAACACCGAAGCCGTCAGTGCTATGAATGATGTTATAAATGGCGTGTTTTGGAAGTTTTTGTTGAAACTTCTCCAATTTCTCCAGAGGCGTGCACGTCGCGGAGAAGGCACACGGAAGGACATAGTCAAGTCATCATAAGTACCAGAGGTGATTGGTTGACCTGTCGTGACTTACTCTGGAGGTTTGGCGCTAATAGATGCCGTTTTTGTTGTCGTCAGTCAGAAAGTTGATGCCTTGACGGTATTGTCGTCTCCTTTACCACCAAAGAACGAAGAATGGGCTTCCAGGAAGAATCTGCTTGAAAAAGACGTCCCAGATGCTATAATCTCGGACATATGGTTATTCCGGCGCCGAGTATAAATAAACTTAAAACACACTCACTTTTGTTGAAAACAAAACAAAAAAAACAACAAAACATTTTCTGTAGTAATTTTTCAAGTGTTGTAAAATGAATAAGAAATTCCTCTTATGCCGCGGATTATTTTTAGAACACAAACATAAAAGTTCTTTTTTTTATTTTTCAAATAAACATTAATCACTTCAGCGCGCGCAAATATCGTTTTCAAATTAAAGTTTCGTAAGATATGTTAATGACTTCCCGATGCTCGACTGTAAGTAATTTGTATATGTATGCGTTTTTTTTGTTTTTTTGTTTTTTTTGTTTTTGTTTTTTAATTAAAGCTTCTTATTCTTTAATATTTTTTATGTATCTCATAATCTGTATTGAAAATTTGAGTTTTATTACACATGGACTATCAAATTATGATGTATGCCCTAGAATTGAATAAACTTTCTAATTACACAATACGGGGTCATACTGATCTTTGCGTCTTTCTCTGAAATAATTATTTCTTTGTTAAAACATATTTGACCACATATTTCTGTCAATTAACTGTTCACTTTACTTCCGATTTTTGTTGTACGGAAACACATGTTTCTATTTGTGTTTTCTAATCAATTCGAATCTATAATCAGTTTAATGGGATCACCACCGGGTAAACGACTACTAGGTACTTTGGTCATGTTTTATACCCCAAATATTTGAATGTTTCTATTGGGATTAAAATGAGCATAGTTAAGTAAACAACTGGTTGTATAAATCCCTGACCTGTCTAATTCTAATTATGAGATCAGTGAATATATAAGACTTTCACTACAAAATATTCCTAAACAAAAGAGCACATGTTTAAATTTATTCCTATACAAATAAAAGATCAGAGTAGGGATCTGTCAATTGCCAAATATACTTTTATGTTAAAAGTTTGATTAATGAATTATGTAAGATGAAAATATAAGTATTGCTTTTTTATTTTGCTAATGTAAAATGTAATATTGTGCTGGAATTTTGTCGGAAGGTCCCTATAGGGGTTTTGTAGTTAAATAGTTTTTTTTTCGGCGATAATGGTTCAAGAATATAATGTTTCAAACTATATGCTCATCACCATCAGTGAATTTTTAGTTAAATGTATGCAAAATATTTACTAACAGCTATGATATAGCGGTTTATGACCGTTTTCCGCGTACAGCCTCCTGGGGTGTACTAATAAGTTAGTTTTCCTTTGTTATCACGCAAGCATGATCCATGTCTCTGATGTAAGCGACAGTTTACAATTATTTGTCTTTAAAAAATATTAAGGACTTTTAATGGTATATAACAACAAAAGAACATGCATGATATTGAGAATACGGCATTGTATATACACCGGTCTCAAATATCGTCAGTAAGACCGGTGTACACAATGGAGAATACGGTGTTGGAACGTTCTAGTTAATGACCCGTCATAAACAGTTGGTCGCTGCGTAGTAATTGGAAAATTGTTATCAAGAATAATAAAGAATATTTGCCACTAAATTAAAGCATTTACTTACAAATTTTCATTTATGCTTTTTGTTAAAAAAATATTGATAAAGTTATTATTTTGAAGGGTTTTAATACCAGAACTATTTATTACAGACGTACGTATGCTTAAACCTGATTACCGCGGCAGTATGACGTCACGGAGTAGTGATTTAAACAAAAATCAAGAATTTTTCAGAGAATTATTATCTTTACAAATTGCAGATATGAAATTAAAGAATGAAAATATTTTCATATTGTAAATGTCTGTGATGAGTGATGAGTCAGCTTAGAAAAGATCAAGGTACTATTTTTTGACCTGATTACCGCGGCAGTGACCTGATTACCGCGGCAGTAAGATTTGACGAACAGTTATTAACATTGGGTCGGCATAGCCTCCCCAAAAATCTATCTTGATTTGCAAGTAATTTCGGATGTGTATTTTCGGATAGAAACAACTGTGACAAACAAATTCTTAAATAGGAAATGTTTATAAGTTCTAAAGTTTTTTTAATTTAAGGCACTTAATGTCTCAGAAATCATTTGTTTTCTTTTAAACAGGCAAATATGAGTTTTAGAAATTGTAAGTTACAAATAATAAACAGCATACTAGATACTTTTCGCATGAATAATACTTATGAATGCTAAATTCTCTTTATAATAAAAGTAGCAAAATGTCAATAAAGTATAGTATTTTGACTTCCATTCAAAATACTAAATAACTGTAACTGTACTAATGCAAATAAGAGATTGTTTAAGTTACTGGCCAATGTGGAACTTTTTTTCTGGAAACTATAACAAAACTCCAAATATAAAGCTTTTGGGAGATAAAGATAGAAGCTTTTCACGGGCACAACGGTCCTGTTAGAAAATTTATAGATATTAAGCGTTTATATACAATTTATGTTTTAGAATGCATTAATGTTTTATAAGTAATAGATTACTTCAAAGTAAAACCATTATATAGCAAAGTCAGAAAGAAGAAAAATATTCTTATACGTATATTTAGTTTGTCTTGTAATTTGTCTTTGAATTTCTGAATGTATATATATATATGACATTATGTTTGTAATGTTTTGTTCACGGACAATCTTTAAATATGACATTTTTCAAATATAAGTCATGCCTTCTAGCAGATATATTTTCATTGCCTACTTAAGTTATAGCAACAGATTTTTTCATTCCTACCATTAGAAGAACTTCTTACGAACACAAATAGAACGTGTTAAGCGCACTACTATTTCAACCTTTTGGGAGAAATTTGAATTTGACCATCTTTTGAATTTTCATGAAAAAAATTCTTTAAAGATTTGTCCAGCATTCTAGAGGAATTGAAAGTTTTCTATTCCCGTTTGTGTTTACAGCTTTCTTTTTCTAGACATTGAATCAATTTGAAGGTATTAAAGTGTCTGGCTAAAGTAATGAAAATATAGATAAAAATGTCTACAAAATTTATGTGGGTATTAAGTAAGCCATGTCTTTATTCAAATTATGTAAATGAAGGGTTAAATTTTTTATTACAGCAGTTATCACCATCGTCCCATGTCCGGGCAGTTGTGTTTATGGGCTCACCAGTATACATGGCTCACTGCGAGAAGATACGGTCTACATGTGAGACGTTTGGTGTACCATGTGAATTAAGAGTGTCTTCTGCTGACAAAGGATGCCACGAACTTCTGAATATTTTAGCTCAATATGAAGGTATACCTACTCACTTGCATTTGTAAGAAACCATTATAACTGGTGAATTGTAAGTACCAACTCAACTAGAGAATAGTGATAAAGTTTATTTTTGGTGAATATCTTCCTTAATGGTTGTACTTTGGTGAACTGCGGATGCCTGTTGTTCACAAGCCTGATTTAATGCACCATTTTCTATCAATTTCTAAAGTCTTTGATTTTGAAGACAAAAAATATATTATACTAAAAGGAAATAAGCGAAACACCATGCCAGCTTAAATAATTTGTTTATATAAAGGGACCGTGGTTTAGTAGTAAAAGTATCTCCCTCTGAAACCAGGAATCGTGTGCTTAAGCCGTAATTTGGTCCCGACCATATTTCTTTGTACTTTTGGTTCCAAGAAACTGGATCGAAAGGACTTAATAAAAATTGCATTTATTTCACAATCAAGCTTAAATAACAATTTTAGCTAAATTAAATATAAATATTTACATATATAAGAATAAATGTATGTTGTATAATTTGGAAGATGACTTTCAGGTGAGGGTATACCTACTGTGTTTATTGCTGTAGCCGGAAGTAGTAACGGGCTTGGTCCGGTTCTATCTGGTAACGCAATCTGGCCAGTCATTAACTGCCCGCCAGCTGACTGGGTAGCTGAAGATATCTGGTCATCACTAAGAGTACCTACAGGTATGAGTCTGTCCTTTGTCTTATTGGTAACTGTATTTCTTGAATAATAACTTAATAAGTAATAGAAAGAGCATCGAAACACGAGGATATCTCATTTGTACGAGGGGGCACAGTCCCCGAGTATAAATCAGATTGCCGAGTGTTTTGATATTCTTTCTCTTTTGTATCATAAAAACACGTTCCCTGTACACAATATGAAACCCCATACAAAAATAACTAATGAATGAGCATCTGACTATAATATTTTTTATCGTTTTCCCTTTCTCTGTCGTCACAATATGCAAACCCCAGACAAAATGTCCCCAAACTATGATACAATATTAATATTAATGTTTAGAAATAACTAAAATTGCATGTTATGCCTTTCTCAAAAATGGCAAATATTTGAAGTAAATTGTGAATCCTGTATGAACATGTAGTAAATGCATTTTTCCCGTGACTTAACCGAACAGAATACAGATAAGAAGAACAAAACAATTTCTCTTTACTTAACATTCGACCTAGAATTTCTTGCTTTTCTATGAGTTACCTATACAGCTGGATTAGAAGGTTTGTGTTCTACTTGGGTGTATGCTCTGAAATAATGCCTGGTAGGAAGGGCACCAGAGGTCTTCTTCCAATAGTAAAGCTGAAAAGTCGCCATATTCGGTTAATATTGTCGGCAAGACTTAAATACAACACACATTAATTAATGAAATATTTTTTTTGGATTTTAGCAATAAATTGAAATTGAGGAATTTCTTTCAGAAACTTAGAAACAAATGTATTTCAGATTTGGGATGTACAACAGTCACCTCCCCGGACGCAGCTGCCCTTGCTGCAGTGCAGATTCTTGGTCTCGGTGATCATATTATATGGTCGAAGCTACGAGCAAACCAGCTCAATACCTGGATAAACTTAAAGGAGGCAGACAAGAAAACGAGAAATTAAATGTGATAAAAACTTCCTTTTGTTTCCCATGATCTCATAAAATAATTATCTAGCTAGTCTAAGGAATTTCAAGCCTTTCCTGTGTGTGTGTTTTGACATATGAGCCGCGTCACGACAAAACCAACATAATGGGTTTGCGACCAGCATGGATCAAAACCAGCCTGCGCATCCGCGCAGTCTGATCAGGATCCATGCTGTTCGCTTACAAACCATATAACAAGTAGAGAAACTAATAGCGAACAGCATGGATCCTGATCAGACTGCGCGGATGCGCAGGCTGGTCTGGATCCATGCTGGTCGCAGACCCATTATGTTGGTTTTGTCATGACACGGCACATTTGTGTTGTTTCTTTTATCAAACATTTCTTTAAATGACTTGAATTTGATACAAATTATATTAAAGTTTTACAAATGTTAGATTTATTGTTTATTTATATGGTAACATTCCATGTTTACTTTGGAAAATTATATATTATGTAGAAGTCCAACTTGGAGTATTCAGTTCTCATCATATTAGGTACGTATTTCTAACGGACTTCTTTCAATTTTTATATAGAAACTTCCACTGTTCCTTTCAGAAAGTAACAGGACAGTACCTATTTTTAGAGTACAGATTTCACCACAGTAGCACCATAAAATTTTGGCTTGGATGTTATAATTCTTAATATATTCTGTTCTGAGTTGTTTTTTAGAAGTCGTCTCTTAATTATTAATAAAACTACTGAACAAATTAAGAATGATCACACCCACAAAAATTAAAGGTAATTGGATTATTTTCTTCATATTTCGTATATCTGTCAATTATTGCATGGTTTGGAACTTTTCCTTTGTTCTTATAACCCATTATACTCAGTACACTTTTAATGAGCATTTGAAAACTGTATTGATATATAACAGTACAGTTTTTTCATTGTTTCATATAGGAAAAAACTGAGCTGCTATATAGCAGTTGAGTTTTTTTCGCACCTTGTATATATCAGTATAGTTTTTTCACTTCATGGTCTCCGTGAAAATCGATAGCTCTTTAAAATTTAATTATACACAAATGCACACAAAAATGAAAAAAGTGCAAGCATTTATCGCTCATCTTGCTGGTGGACCACTTCATGTGACCAGTGCAGACCTTTTTGCTACTCAGTAGGTAAATATTTTGAAAATTCCTCTAATCGCGATTTTATCATCAAGTCGTCGTCTTTACATCATCGATATATCGTCCCAGGTCTAACAAATAAAACATTTATCAGTGATACTTAACTCGACAATTTATTTACAATTTTGCCGTAATATATTTTTAGTTTCCTATTAATTAGCCACAATTAATCATTAGACAGGAAGTCATCAAAACTGCTTACAGCGGTTACTTCCCAAATCAAGTTTAAAAACATACTCGTTTATCGCACATATGAACAAAAACATATAATAAGATGAGAAATTTATAACTATAATCAGACTGGAAAATTATATGAAAGATATCAAGATTAGAAAAAAAAGATTGGCAATTTTAACAAAGTTAATCTATTAATTTAATTGAATAATATATTTAATTCTTTGTTGTTTTTTTTTGCAAAGAAGTTATTAAGGGCGGTTACTGCATTGAGATTACCTTAAAACGGTATGACTTATAATCTCCCCTTCAACTTACCGGATGTTTACAAATGTTTAAGGTCACCCTTGTACATGTTAGCTTAATTTGTTAATATGGCATCAAAAAATACGCTACAACTTATAAGAACAATTGTGGAACATTCGACAAAAGGAGCACTTGGCTTTGAAAACATTTTGAATAAGGTAATACACGATATATATTACTTTTAGTTTAGTCTTTTCAAGTAAGCTATTTTTAGCATAGTGACCTTTGGTAATTAATACCGTATTACTTCTGTTTGCTGTGCTGTAAATATAATATGTAATATGACTCAAAAGAAATGTACATCTTCAGTTTTTCGAAATAATTGTTAAGTACTATCGGATATTGCGTCAGTACTACGATAGTCGCCTTATGTACAGTAAAACCTATCTTTTAAGTCCACTATGTCTGTGGCTGTATAAATATCTAGTCTAGATACCTGTGATTCGTGTCAATGCTTTTTTCATTAATGTAATTAAATAAAGATTTTGCTGCTTATGAAGTCCCCGCTTTTTCGCAGGGAATGATGGAAAACATTGACGGTTGCGTTACATATTTCTGCAGGAATTATGTGTAAAAGCATAGGATTTTCGTTCACAAAGGAATGCTGAGTACTGTAAGTCCGCTATATTCAACCGTCACGCAAATTGACTACTAATTTCGTTTTGATTTTAGGTGAAAGTAACAAGCGGTGGGGGAGGGGCGTGCACGTGTGAAATGCGGGTGGCAGAAGAACATCAGAATAGGGCTGGTACCTTGCATGGCGGTATGACCTGTACTCTGGTTGATGCTGTATCAACATGGGCGCTCCTAGGGACAGATGAGCCGGTAGCCGGTGTTAGTGTAGACTTAAGTGTGTCGTAAGTGTATTTTTTTTTATAGATTTTTGCTTGTTCTTAGTAAGATCATGTAGGTTCATTAAGTGTAGTTACTTTAATCATGTCCGTGGGCAAGGGTTAAGGTCGTTGACTTCGAACCACTCGTCCCTCACCGCTGTTGGTCCGAATCCTGCCAGGGACTTTGGATTCTTTAATGTCAGAACAGTTACCCAGCTTGCTTAGTTACGGCACGTCGGTGGTTCTACTAAGGTGCCCGCTAGTGTCTGAAATAATGCACGAAGCGGAAGATGTGGTATACATCCATTATTAAAGCTGGAAAGTCGCCATATGACCTTTAAAGTGTCGGTATGTCTTAAAAGCTCACTGGATAATGTAACTTTTAATCAATCACAAATCCGGTTCTCGGACCAAATCTACACCAATAACATTTGAGAAAATATGCCAAGGTAGGGCTCAATCCCACGAACGCTTGGTTAAGACAGACACCTTAACACCGCTCCACACCATACAAACACTGAAGACATGGGCATTTATGCTACATGTTATGTTTAAAATGCAAATTTTTCCAAGAAAAAAAGGAATTGATGATAAAGACAATGTCAATATACATGTAAATTTAAATCAATATATCAATAATTATAGCATTATAGGTAAAATAAATAGTCATGTTTCAGCATATTTAAATTTCTATCTATTTCGGCCTAAATTTTGTTGCCTTCCCTTCAACTCTTCATTTAAAGGAGAATAAATTAAATGAAGAGAATAAAATTTAATTGTGTGTATTGGCTTCATACGAAAACAAGAAAAGAAAATCGGCATATGAACCTAATTATATATTTTTAGACTAGTCATACATGTACATTTTTGGGTTGTTATATTGACTTGTAGATGCTCTTTTATTTATCTAGGTTTATGAGAGGAGCTAAAGTGGGAGACGATATCATTATTGACGCAAAGATGTTGAAAAGAGGCAAAAGATTAGCATTTTTGACCGTAGATATAACAAATAAGTTAGACGGAAATCTTTTAGCGCAAGGAAAACATACAAAATATATTGGGTGATCAGTAAATAGTCATGTAAGCGGGTGTTACATTAAGAATCAAAGTTTCTGAACTTTGTTGCTTAAAAACCTGGATTTTGTTTTAATGCGTTGCTTTAAATGTTATTTAATAACATGACGCAAATCTGCATTCACATGTGTGAACAAATGCACTCAAAGGAAAGACATATCATGGTATTTATAAACTAGTGGTCGTTTTTTGGAAGTTAGTTTTTTCCGTTATATCAATGTAGGGCTATCAAATAGTGGCTTTTATTTGCACGTTTATCTTTATTCAACGGTGACCTTTCACACAGGTTTAATTGTATGACATTTTATAAATGAATCACCATACAAAGAACAAATATACTAACATTGACACGATAAATAGAAATTAATAATGGTGTACATTGTCAAAACTTATTTGAAATTGATTAATTTCGTGTTACGTTGTCAAATAATAGAAATATCTCTTTTTTTAAGTACGCGGAAACAAGATGTTAATATCTAAGCCGATCCTAATGGCAAAGTGTACACATATTATAATAAACATTTGTCCTTAAAAAATAGGAATATTTTATGTTAAATTCATGGCAATGCATTATACATGTACATTTATAGGTACTCAGGGTGGGTGATCAAGTGACATTTGTTTACGGTAACATTGGGCCCATGACTTAAAGCTACATGCCTCCAGATGAGTCAAAACATTTCAATAAAATCAAACTTGAGAAAAATGTTCTAAGATGTAAGAAAAAGTAAAAAAAAAAGATTAAAGTAATATTTTACATATTTTGTGCGATTAATGACTGATTTTTTCAGTATTTACAACTATATTTCTACTGCGTTACTAACGCAGTTAAGGGTTTTAGGCATATTTTGATCACTTTTTGGCAATTTACGTGGTTGGTAAGTGCCATTGATAATGTGTAAATTACTTCCTTCTGGTTACTTCACAATATTACACATTCAATTACGTTTTTCAAAATTTTCATGAAAATTAGCATGAATCTGGAGGCGTGCTGCTTTAAACTTTGTTTTTGTTTTGCTTATTGTTCGTTGTATCTTTCACTATTTAAATAATAAACATATACCATGTTTCAATATTTTCTTACTTTGTTATCCCACATGTATTTTATTGCTGTGTATGGCCAGCTGAGGACCAATTCATCTTAAACTTGAACTTTGAACGAACACGTAGAATTGACAGTGACTTTAATTATTCTTACTCCAAAAAGCACGACACTTTCCGTGCTTTCGATGTCGATCAGTCCGACAAATATGAAATGTTCAAAGTATCTCATGCTCCCTAGTATTAACTTGACTATTATTTAACCTTGAATATTATGTTTTTTGAATCAATGATCATGAAGGATCGTAAAAAATATATAACAAGGGGTGGTTCGGCGTCGGAGGCAAAGAAATTATGACAGGAAATCCGTCAAGAGCAATTAAAAATCAAACATTGCAGAACCTGTACATTAGACGATATGAAACGCACAACATACCCCTTCCCCTCCAGCATCAACAATCCAAAAGAAACAGAAACATTTTGTAACTACTGCAGTATATACAATTCTGTAATGTATTTTAGTTTGGTTAGAGTAAAATCTGTATGGATTGTATGAATGTAGTTTTAAATAGCTAAAATGCTGAAAAAAATAATTTTTATGACTTACTTATAAATGCAAAAGTTGCCCGTGTATTTGCATCGAATTTAAACGGTTCGATGAACGCCTATAATAAACTCGGGAGCAAAACTGGAGTGCATGTTACTACCATGCGCTTTTCAACAAAACAAACTATGACAAAAAAAATGTCACAGGTGTATTGACAGCAAGGTGTATTTCGTTAAAATAATGATTTAAAAAAAGATATCCACAAGCAGATTCAACCATGTGACTTGTATAAAATCTGCTGATGTCTAAGTAAAAGCAATTCATGTTTAAAGATGATACATGTAAAACACGTTCGGCAATATAATGGTTCAATAAGTTAAAAATAATCTTGGTAAAACCCAAATTTATATTATATATAGCTCGTAACGGGGATATACAGACTGGAATACCACACAAATAGATATACGAGTATATGTTGACAAGCTCAGCGATGTGATATCTGAGCGAAAATGAGTTATGACTAGTTTGTGGTAGAAAAACATCTGCTGAATAGCTGGCAACAATTATGTTTTAAAAATACTTGATATTTTATTAAATATTCTAATTTGTATGACATCACCATAACAACAAAAAATTAACATTTTAAACTTTTATTGGTATAAACTAGAAATAACTCAATAGTTTTACACAAATAATAAAATAAACAAAACACAGTAATCATTCATCTTGGTGTAATAAATGTAATATCTTAATATAAAAAACTATCATTTGTTTTCAATAATCGGTTGCCATGGCAACAAAAATATAAAAAAATCATCAAATGCAATATATTTTGATTTTATCATGATTAATTCATAACCAAATTAATGCATATATATTATATTAAAAGACAACAATATTTAAGACTTTTCAGAAAAAGAAAAAAAAGGATTTTTCACTTTTCCCTTTAAGTGTTAATGATAATAAATATAAATGAAAGGATTAAATTCTCAGAATTTCAGGAACTTTTCCATGATTAAGGCGAATATCATAACTTAAGTTAGTCCACTTTAAAGCTAATAGCTGTACCATATAGCATATAAATTATAAATCCAATGCAAAATAATAATTATTTAATGCACTGATTACAAAAATGGTGTATTTTTGGTTACCATGGTAACAAAAAATATGCAAAAAAACCCCGCCAAAAAACTGTATGATTTAAAATAATGGCATCTTATAAAAAATATTTCATATAAAATAATTGTGTTCTTTCAGAAATTTAACCAAAAAAATGAAAGATCTAGCACTTGTTATTTTCCTGATTATATTTTCAGTTACAGATATTGACGGTGTAACCATATCATATTCTTATCAGTGTATTTTAAATTGTATAATATGAATAACATTTTATATACATAATATATTTTTAAATTGAAATAATTTCAATAATTTAAAACAATTATAATGACAGATTTTTGCAAACACATGGAAAGTCACAAATGACAGATCACTTTTGTCCTTGAATGTAGTCTTGCAACCCCAGTTTGAGGGTTTGATCCATACAGGGTAACAACAACCACCATGTCTCCTCATATGCCCTCAGTTTTTGTAAGCAGAAAGTGATTCATAAACTTGCAAAAACTTGTTTCACAATGAAGTAAAAATATTGAAGCCTCTGCCACTGCAGTTCTAAGCTTTTCAGGGATACTTCTGAAGACATAAATTCCAATGACAGACATTTTGCAGTCTTTGACTGCCTATGCTTGAAACCTTATTGGAAGCCGTGCTGGTAGAATCTGCTACATGTATGTGGTATTCATTACTTTAAGTAATTCCAATATAATATGATTTATTTTTCGATACTATTACTACTAAAAGGATAATAATAATAACTTCACTATATAAATAATTAACATATACCATGTTTCATTATTTTCTTACTTTGTTATCCCACATGTATTTTATTGCTGTGTATGGCCAGCTGAGGACCAATTCATCTTAAACTTGAACTTATAACGAACACGTAGAATTGACAGTGACTTTAACCTTACTTCGCAAAGACAAGGCACTTTTCCAGCTTTCGATGTCGATCAGTCCGACAAATATAAAATGTGCAGTATCTCATGCTCCCTAGTATTAACTTGACTTTTATTCAACCTTGAATATTATGTTTTTAGCTCGACTATTCGATAAGAATAAGTAGAGCTATTGCAGTCACCCGAGCGTCGGCGTCGGCGTCGGCGTCGACGTCGGCGTAACCACTTATGTTAAAGTTTTTGTAATAGTTCAAATATTTTCAAAGTCCATTGACACATGGCTTTGAAACTTTGCACACTTGTTCACCATCATGACCCCAACCTGTAGACAGGAAGAGGTAACTCTATCAAGCATTTTGACAGAATTATGCCCCTTTTTCGACTTAGAATTTACGTTAAAGTTTTTGTAATAGTTCAAATATTTTCAAAGTCCATTGACATATGGCTTTGAAACTTTGCACACTTGTTCACCATCATGACCCCAACCTGTAGACAGGAGGAGGTAACTCTATCAAGCATTTTGACAGAATTATGCCCCTTTTTCGACTTAGAATTTACGTTAAAGTTTTTGTAATAGTTCAAATATTTTCAAAGTCCATTGACATATGGCTTTGAAACTTTGCACACTTGTTCACCATCATGACCCCAACCTGTAAACAGGAGGAGGTAACTGTATCAAGCATTTTTTTTACTATCAAGCACTAAGAATAGTCGAGCGTTGCTGTCCTACCGACAGCTCTTGTTTGAATCAATGATCATGAAGGATCGTAAAAAATATATAACAAGGGGTGGTTCGGCGTCGGAGGCAAAGAAATTATGACAGGAAATCCGTCAAGAGCAATTAAAAATCAAACATTGCAGAACCTGTACATTAGAGGATATGAAACGCACAACATACCCCTTCCCCTCCAGCAGCGTCTATTGAAATCAACAATCCCAAAGAAACAGAAATTTTTTGTAACTATATACAATTCTGTAATGTATTTTAGTTTGGTTAGAGTAAAATCTGTATGGATTGTATGAATGTAGTTTTAAATAGCTAAAATGCTGAAAAAAACATTGTTATGACTTACTAATAAATGCAAAAGTTGCTCGTGTATTTGCATCGAATTTAAACGGTTCGATGAACGCCCATAATAAACTCGGGAGCAAAACTGGAGTGCATGTTACTACCATGTGCTTTTCAACAAAACAAACTATGACAAAAAAATGTCACAGGTGTATAAAGGTGTATTTCGTTAAAATAATGATTAAAAAAAAGATATCCACAAGCAGATTCAACCATGTGATTTGTATAAAATCTGCTGATATCTAAGTAAAAGCAATTCATGTTTAAACATTATACATGTAAAACACGTTCTACAATATAATGGTTCAATAATTCTTGTTTACATGTTTTAATTTTCATGATATCATATTACTACTGTCAAACGTAACTTTTCGGCCCTTTCCGTCAGTCTTCATTGATAATAGCCGAGACTACTGTCAAGTTATAAATAATCTTGGAAAAACCAGATATGTTATATATAGCTATATAGCTCATAACGGGGATTTGCAGACTGGAATACCGCACAAATATATATATATATATATATATATACAGATATTCGTTTACTTTTTAAGGTATTGTAAAATAATATCATATTTAAACATAATCACAAGTCATTCAGAGGCTTAGTAGAAATAATGTTTATAAAGATGGGTGCTTGGCTTTGCCTTAGCAATCCTATAAGGTACTAATATGTACTTTACTTACATTCCTTTTTTCCAGATAATTGGAAAACGTGCATATGAGTCATTTAGGTCTAAATTATTACATGATTTTTGCAGCAGTATTGCTTTCAGTGTGTTGACCAAGGCGAACAAGGTAAGTTTTTAAGCTGTATCTCGAGATCTTATGGTTTACTGTTTAATTTTACCACGGCGAACAATTTAGATTTACTGATTTTTTTCTGTTTTGTTTTTATTCTAAGATGACATTATATGCTTGTAAATATTGGCCTTATACACCTTTCAGGTGCTTAATGCTTAATAAACGATGTTGTTGTTGATGATATTGTTTAATAGTGAATGATTTAGATTTTCTAATGATTTATCATGGTGAAATTTAAAATGATTTAGATTCACTGATGATTTGGTAAAATTTAGAATGATTTAGATTTACTGATGATTTATCATGGTGAAAATAAGAACGACTTAGATTTACTGATTATTTATCATGGTGAAATTTAAAATGAATCAGATTCACTGATGATTTGGTGAAATCTAGAATGATTTAGATTTACTGATGATTTGGTAAAATCTAGAATGATTTAGATTTACTGATGATTTGGTGAAATTTAGAATGATTTAGATTTTCTAATGATTTATCATGGTGAAATTTAAAATGATTTAGATTCACTGATGATTTGGTAAAATTTAGAATGATTTAGATTTACTGATGATTTATGATGGTGAAAATAAGAACGACTTAGATTTACTGATTATTTATCATGGTGAAATTTAAAATGAATCAGATTCACTGATGATTTGGTGAAATCTAGAATGATTTAGATTTACTGATGATTTGGTAAAATCTAGAATGATTTAGATTTACTGATGATTTGGTGAAATTTAGAATGATTTAGATTTACTGATGATTTGGTAAAATCTAGAATGATTTAGATTTACTGATGATTTGGTGAAATTTAGAATGATTTAGATTTACTGATGATTTGGTGAAATCTAGAATGATTTAGATTTACTGATGATTTGGTGAAATTTAGAATGATTTAGATTTACTGATGATTTGGTGAAATTTAGAATGATTTAGATTTACTGATGATTTGGTGAAATCTAGAATGATTTAGATTTACTGATGATTTGGTGAAATCTAGAATGATTTAGATTTACTGATGATTTGGTGAAATTTAGAATGATTTAGATTTACTGATGATTTGGTGAAATCTAGAATGATTTAGATTTACTGATGATTTGGTAAAATTTAGAATGATTTAGATTTACTGATGATTTGGTGAAATCTAGAATGATTTAGATTTACTGATGATTTGGTAAAATCTAGAATGATTTAGATTTACTGATGATTTGGTAAAATTTAGAATGATTTAGATTTACTGATGATTTGGTAAAATTTAGAATGATTTAGATTTACTGATGATTTGGTAAAATCTAGAATGATTTAGATTTACTGATGATTTGGTAAAATCTAGAATGATTTAGATTTACTGATGATTTATCATGGTGAAATTTAAAATGAATCAGATTCACTGATGATTTATCATGGTGAAATTTAGAATGATTTAGATTCACTGATGATTTGGTAAAATTTAGAATGATTTAGATTTACTGATGATTTATCATGGTGAAATTTAAAATGAATCAGATTCACTGATGATTTATAATGGTGAAATTTAGAATGATTTAGATTCACTGATGAAATCTTGTACAGACTCAATCAAATGGAGTCTGCAATTTTCATGTAATTTTGTTGTGATCAATGCTTCCGAGGGATCACTTTGTTTCCATTTTTTTAGATTTACTGATAATTTATCATGGTGAAATTTAGATTTTTTTTCAATAATCAGATTTGTTTAACAATATAATTTTCTAGATTATTATATTTTTAGCATTTTCATTTTAACATTTTAAAACAGCATGGTCGAATTTTTATGATGATTTTTTGTATTACTTTGTAGCTTAGCGACCCATTTAAAGTATTTCTATAATTATTTATGGAAGGAGCATTTTACACTTTTGATACCTTAAAAAATATTATTTAAATATTCTAGTATTAATGTTTTAAAGCTAATTGAGATTAATTAAGACCATTCAGTAAGATATAATTAAACAATGTATGGTTTAATCTTTTTTTCCAATTAAAAATATGTTTTTGTAATTATGAAGCAGTAAAATTCACCATTGGCAAGTAGATTTCTGATATCTTAACATAAATATTTTATAGTTTATATCATGTGGATGTACTTAGATATTTTCTGGTAGGGTTTTCGATTTTTCTTTTTTTCTTTAACAGTTTCAACAACGAAACAATGATCAAGATTTTGATAGCTGCAATTGCATGGTCTGTGCTTGTATCAAGTCAGGGCACAAGAACACCTTTCCCGTGCCACTCAGATGTCTGTAATTTGTAAGTATAGTTCATTCATAAAACTGTAAGACTGCTTTTATTAAATGTAGTAACAGCGCCAAATATACAAAGTCAGTCCACATCCAATCAAAAAAAGGCCGTACATAAATTAAAAAAATTACACGGGTTATAAAATAAAAATAAAAATGTACATAAAAAGCAACAAAAAACAGCGTAGACATTGCCCTGTATTTTATTGAATATCCCAAGTCGTACACATATATAATAAACACATTATGCTTTTCTCCTAATATTTGCAGGTTAAAAAGCGAATGTATATGTATCAAATGCGCATAACGGGGGAATAACAACAATTTGAAATTTTACTATATTATAATTTAAAAACGTGTAAAAAAATGTTGCATTAGTTTTATTACCGCCTCCATGGTCGAGGGGTTAGAGTCGATGACTTCTAATCCAATTAACTCTCTGGCGTGGGTTCGATCCCCGGGAGATGCTTTGGTAGTATAGCGCGGAGGAAGGTAGTCTAGTACTGGTGTAACTCTCCAGGAACGATGGTTAGGAAACTACCCGCCTATATGACTGAAATACTGTTGGAAAAGGCGTAAAATGAAATAAACAAACAAAACAAAGCATTAGTTTTAAATGGCAGTTTTTCTATCCCATATGGGTAAATTATCAAAATACACGTTTTTATTAATAAATTGTTTCTGATCTCAGAAATGCTTTCAACACAATGTCATTATACATAAGATAGAGTAGCTAGTATAAGCAACTTTACTTAAAGGTATGGCCAAGACCAGTTTTGTAGCGAAAGAGAATCGAGATGCCGTGACTGTCTCGACATTATTGATGGATGCTTCGAACCTGAGACACCAAGCAATTGTACGAGGACGTGCATAGGTGAGGAAACACATATTTTGAACACCATTAAAGGCTCATTTTGCCTCAGAAATGTTTGTATTTCTCAAAAGCGTATTTTTTTTGTGTACTCTTATAGTATCCAAAATATTACTCATTGGTCTATTACCTGAACCATCTTTTTCACCCGTTTCGTTTTGACAACAAATAGACTTATAATAAATGAGTATGTTGTATGGAAGTCAAAATACTACTTTGTTTACATTTTGCTACTTTTAAAACAAGTTATCTCACATTCATCGCTTTTTATTTAGGTAACAAACATCTTACATTTCTTAAAAACCATTATTGAAGCATTATAAAATTTCATATTTCCCTTTCTAAAGCAGTAAAAAGATATTTACTTCTGAGTCATAATGTGCCTTTAAAGTTGTCTTATAAAATACAGTGACTAAAGTGTGCTCTATTTTTATCATAGAATAATGTATGTACACTCCAATGACTTATTTCTTTCAGTAAACCTGTTTAAAATGTTTTAATATATATTGGTGAACTGATGTGTGAAATTCAGTGTTTATAGATATACATGTATATATGTATCTTCCGGCGTAGATTATAAAAATGTTGTTGAATATTAATAAATATTCTAATACATGTATTTGATTTTACCGGTAATTGGTTTTATATTATTATCTTTTTTAATTAATAAGATAAATAGTTATTACGAATCTATAAATTTCTTGCTGAAATTCTTCATGACTGTCAAGTAAATATCATTTACATATGTAGTGAATTTAACTATTCTGTATTTTTCCCCAGAATTTCATGTGCAAGAGAAGCTGAAAAATGAAAGAGGTGTGTATTGTTCCAAGTTTCTATGAGTGTTTACTTGTTCCATTTGGTTGTTGAAAAGCAGTTAAAATAATAGTTTAAGGTTCGATTGATAATGGTTTAAAAGATGAAGTTGTACGTGTGGATATATTTGATAAACATTACTAGTAAACCCCCCAATTGTCGGTGATAATACATAAACAAGTTAAGTTTTACTATAAAAACTAGAAGGAAACCAATTCGACTAATCATGTATAGTCGTTACTCGTTTGTTCTTGTGCGATTGGAATATGGAAATTCAATATGAAATAGCTGAAAAGACTGGTATCATTTAAAGACGTAACAGAAACTTTCATTGCTAATACTCTATTAAATTATTTTGAAGCATCTGCTTGCCCGGAGCTTGGCCCTATAGAAAACGGAAAAAGTAACGACTCTACATCGGAAATATACAAGCCTGGTGATGTCATTGGTATAACTTGTGATGCAGGGTATCGCTTATTTGGTCGCCCTACGCTAAAATGCAAAGCATATGGTCAATGGTCACATGATGTTCCGACATGTGAAGGTATTTGTTAGTATATAAAATATGTTTTATCAATTTCAATTACACCTTGGAAGAGGTAAAATTTTGTAAGGAATATAATTTTCAATACAAGAAAATCAACTTAGCTTCAGTTGGCAGTACGCTTGCTCCCCAGACCGCTTCCAAACCAAGTAAATAATAACATATTGGTTATTTCTTTAATATCTTAGATATGTTACTCTAAGTGTCCATGAATTACTGTTATATCTTTTCTTAGGTTTCCTTTTATCTTTAAATAAGTTCACATTCACAGAGCAATTATAGATGAAAACCGCTCTTCATATACATTTTCACTATATAGTTTATATATTTATGAAGCTGTTTAGAAGATTTTAAAAGCGAAATTTAAACTAAGAATTTTATGTTATCATGATAAATGTAAAGTAGGCAATTTAAATACTTTAATGAACATATTTGTATACAAATCATAACAGTTTACATTCTTAATTTTCAGAAATTACATGTCCCGTGCTGCCAGAAGTTGGCAACGGAAAACATAATGGGTCTCTAACAATTCCGCACAAGCCAGGAGATATAGTAACAGTTCTGTGCAATCACGGATACCAGAGAATCGGTCCAGTATATGCAGTGTGTCAAACAAATGGTGCATGGCAAACACAGCTGTCGATTTGTCAAAGTAAATATGAAAACTTACATTAACTATCTTGACGATTTAATCACATAGAATGTATAGCATTGCACACACACATAAATAACATCTTACTTTTGACTCCTATTATTGCAAATAAGGGCATTATGTAAAATACTTTAAAATTAAGATCAATCACATAAAAGCATTACTCAAGCATAACTATTTAAATTTAAATTAATTTGAATGAACATATTTTTTGTAGAATATCCAGAAATTCCTCCCATAAAGAACGGAAGATGGGACAGAACAATGGTGACAAACAACTTAGAATCAGACGAGTTACAAGCTACTTGTGACAGAGGTTACACCTTACTAGGTTCTGGCAATTTAAGATGGTCAAAGACAGGAATCTTCACAAGCAGCAATGGTCATCTATCACTTTGCAAAAAGGATGAAGAAACAAACGGTACCGTGGCATTTTCTGATTAAAATATACATGTAAAAATCATAATTGCTTAATTATGATATACATTTATAAAAAAAGTATTAAACACTAAAAACTTCTCTACAGATATGCTTTTCAATAAATTCAATTATTGCATAGTTTAACAAATATGTTTTCTTGATATATTTCATTCAGTAAGGATATACGTTTTATTTTCTTTATTTTTAGTTTGGATGATTGTGGCTATAACAGAAGGAGTTCTACTACTCGTATTAATCGTTTGCCTTGTTATCTGCAAAGTTTACAAATATCAAATGAAACAAAGACAAAACCAAACGAAAAAGACCGTTCGTGACAGTTCTAAAGAAAATGGGAATAAGAAAGAAACTCGCCTTTTAATTGATTCAGTTGAAAAACAAATATCTAACCCCTGCAGTCAAAGTGGATATGCATGTCCGAACAAGGACATATCTTTGCATGATCAAAAGCTACAAAGGGAATCAGGATCTAAAGAGAGTGAAAGTCAGTCTCCTATGAATAATTTGTATGGCGATCAACCAGACATGGTCATTAATAGTATTTCCACTGGAACAAGAGTTCCTTCAGAAGTTCAGAAAAAAATCAAAGATGCTGCAGTAACAAGAGAGATAGACAGAGAAAATGACTGTCAATCTAGTAAATCATATGTGCAGATTGGAAGAAACCCAGATGCTGGAAACAGTAAGTTGAGATTTAAAGATTCTGTACGTTGAAATTTAGAATTTTATATCAAGTAAACTGAAATTATATACACTTACCGGTATATAAATTTCCATTTCTTATAAGAATATGACAATACTGTAATTAAACATGTACTTGATGTTAAAGACAACTTGATGTTAGGAGAAATCATTGTGAAGTAATATGACCGTTTTAATTTTGAAAACTTTACCGGTAATGTGAAGGAAATGTAGGGCTTTGAATTTTCACCTGATATAAAGCTATCACATTTACAATACGATTTCTTACGTTTATTTGATTACACTTTATTCTTTATAACATATATATTCTTTCAGACATGCACGTAAGTATAAACATAACTGGCAACAATACTACCGATAACAATGTTATTGTCGGCAGTGGAACAGATGCTACATCTTCAAAGTCTACCAACACTACAGCGCCAAGTACAGCCGACGGACAAACTGCTGATAAGAGGATGAACGACTTAAAGTTGCCCGTAGAGGAATCAGCAACATATCAACCGTCCCAACCTGAATCAGCATCACCTGAACCTGAAGCGTCGACTGTTTTGAAAGAAGTCCGTAATGGGACTGCCATTATGAACGATGACTCATATGCCGCTAGCCGTCCACTTAATGGATTAGCTATCCAGCAAAATGCCAACAATGAACAAGACATTGCTAGAAAACTTGGTTTAGCTAATGGTAACGTAAACACAGACGATCTAGAAAACCATGAAGTAACAAAGTTTTAATATATGTTTAGAATGCAAGTCTAGCTGTACACATTTTATACAAATAATTAGTATTAATTAAATAATCAAATAAATACTTAATGTTAATGTATGTAATTTAACATAATTATAGAGAAAACCCGCCAATCTTAGAAAATTCAATAATGACAATGCATAAGCTTTAACAACAAAGCAGGTAACAAAGCATCTTAAATACAAAGAGACATTCATGCAAAATAAATAATACATTTCATGCATATACTGACTCAAAATAAAGCATATAAACACATATCCATACATGTGAATTCTCTTACTTCAGACTGATGACTCCTAATTAGCAAAATAAGAAGACAACTGCTTCTAATCAATTTTTCAAACAAAGTCAATTTAACTCAAACACTCCCTAAATAAAATACATTCTCTAACTGTGTGTAAGAAAGATTCACATATATGCGCATTTCAAATTACAAATAATTAAACAAAACTATTAACTTTACACATACAAAAAGGCTAAAACAAGCAACAAGCAATAAACTCAAATCAAAATTCTAATTTGCCGATCAACATACATAATGGGTTGGGTGGGAGGGTTTTCTTAAACTTGACAGCTAGACAACAAAGGCTCGAATGACTAGAAGTACAAAATTGGCGCGACAATAATCTAAAATAAACGACCAATCAGAAAACAGTTCACCAAAGTCACGGTTTACTCGAAATAATTAGTTATTTTAGATCAAAATATATCTATGCATATATTATATCATTCTTCCGATTTCACCTATTTTATCATTTATGACACACATATGTTTGACTATTGTCAACGCGTCGAATCTTTTCGATTTTTATATTCATTACGAGCAGTATACTGTTGACATGTAAATGAATGTAAAAATCACTCTCCAAATATGTAGAAACACAGCGGTTAAACTGTATTACAACGATTATAATGTGGTACTCGAATATTCGAAATTCAGATTTAAATACGTATACGTTTTTAATGTAAACTTTTGAAGAAACTAAATAAAACAATTCACAATCATAATAACTGATGTTTGACTAACGCGTCTTATAGAATACCTTTTGGATTTTTATATTTATTGGCGACGCCGGTGAGCGGCGTCGTCTATTATGGAATGCTTTTTATTTTTGCCTATGGAAGGAGCTGTTATTATTAGCAGTTAATTTCATGTTGTGTTAATTAGTTTTATTTTGATTCGTAAAAATCAAGTAAACAAATGTGTTGTTATATTTGTATTTAGTAACTTTATGTAAAAAGCATGTGCATTGTGATATTATTTTCACGAAATTGCAGGTTAAGTTTAACAGCTTGTCCCTTAGTTTTAATGACAATACTAAAACCCGGATTTCGAATATCGTTGTGGTCTAGATTGAGGCCGTATCAGTTCATTCATTCATTTATACATTTTCAAAATTTTCCTACAAGAAGAAAGTTCACCTGCAATTGAGTATAAGGATAGGTAATGGAACTGTTGTAAACGATTATCCTATTGATTTTATCCTTATTACATTTATCTGTTGCGCAGAATGGTTGTTTTTACAAAGTGTACCAGTATCCGGATGTTGAAAGCTATCCGATTTTCTGCAATTACTGCTGACACATGGCCATCTATTTTTTTATGAATACATTACCATTAATTTGCATGGCTTGATAAAACTGAACCTGCAGCATTTCATAATTTTGCTGTTTATGGTGTTCTTTTGGGTTTCAGGTTTTCTTTATTTTAAGGGGAAGTAACTCATGTTTACTAAATTATTTGTTCTTTTCTGTCTATCTTAGGTATTACTTATAATACTATTTTTGTTGTATATAATTCACCAGTTGTAAGGTCATCAAAAGCATGTTAATGTTAGGATTTCATATTTATTTAATATAAACTGGGTTAATTATTAATGCTATGTGCATACATGTATATCTTAGACAGTAGTTTAATGATATGTTGAGACTTATAATTTTTCTGCATTTAAAGAGATACAGTTATGTCATTATTATTAAAGGGATGAGACTTTCATTTAAAGTTATAAATGATAAAACATGTATTGATTGAAAATGTCATTAAACTTGGATCAAGCAATATAATTAATAAAGTCTCAAAAAATCATATTCTGAATAGTTATTCTATTTTTTTCTAACATGTGCATAGTTTGAAAAGGACAGCTTCTGTCTTATCTATTTGTAATGAAGGGACACCGGTTTCAACCTCCAGGTCTCTTGAGTCAACCCGACAACAGACTGTACATAGAGTAGATTGTTACTTGCCCTTGAATAAATTTGTGCACTAAATTTAAAGTGGGTGATTTGTGCCACATGAAAACCAACATAGTACAAAAAGTAACTGGGCGCCAGATGAAAACATGAAAATACAATCTACCACAAAGTGGTTTGTTTGTTGCATTTTCATGTTTTTGCCGGGTGCCCTTGATGCAAAATACAAATCAGCCTTCATAAAATTTCTTATGTTGGTCACAGGTTTGAGTTCTGGTCAAGCTCAAAGTTTTTCTCATCCTGTGACTGCATATTAGCATGAGTTCAATTTCCTATGCTCTGTAACATAAGAAATTCACGAACACAAATCGATATAGTGGGGAAATATGTTGTGGTTTAGAACTGTTTCATTATTAGAAAGAAAATGTGTAGCAGGCCGGATAGCTCAGTTGGTCTTCTGAAAGTCATGGGTTCGAGTCATGGTCAGGCAGTTTCAGTCAGGGTTTAGAAGTGGTTTTTCAATTGACACATGTTTGATTCATTTAACAGATTGCATTATTTGAAATGGACAAAGGCAGTATTGCATGATACTTTAAGATCTACAAAGGGCATTTGATACAGTTGAACACACTATACTGCACATGAAAAAGTTTTTTTTCTCCTTCTTCATGAAACTTTAAGCATCTGCCATATATAATGACATTCTTACATGGTTTAAGTCTTATCTCTGATAGTAGCTGGTTGATGTGGCTGGTACTCATTCTACTAACTGCTCTGAGTACCTATGCTGTCCCCCTGATGTTCATTTTAGGCCCTCTTTTATGTCTAATATATGTCAATTACATGTCTTCAACCCTAAGCAATAAGCTTTTATTATAATGCACAGGCACGAGTATCAGACCTTGGAAGAAAAAATATGGCCAGATTGATAAAAAACCTGTGTTCATCTTAAAAGTGTCAACAACCAAAATAAAATGTAAATAATGACCCCCTTTAAAAATATACTTCAAGTTGATAGTATATTTTTAAAGGGGATCATTATTTACATTTTGTTTTTTTTTGTTTTTATAAACACAGTTTTTTATCAATCTGGTCATCTGGTCATATTTTTTCTTCCCAGGTCCGATACTCGTGCCTGTGATTATATGCTGATGACTCAGGAATCCTTGTGTCTCATAAAATAAATCTGAAGAAATTCTTTCTTATAGCATGAGTCTTATAAGATTGCTTAATTGACTATAAATTGTCTTTGCATCTTGGCAAGACAGAGTCTATTCTTTTTTAGTTTAAGTTTCAACTTAAACTGGCCCTAGCCTCCAGGTCACATGTAATGGTACTGCTATAAAGTACACATCTTTTGTTAAGTATTTAGGTGCAAATCTGGATCAAATTCTTTTGGCGTCGCCCTTTGATGCTTTGCATCAATGCTTTTCTTGTTCTGTACTTGTTATACAACATGTTGTTGACAAGTATCACTCTCCAGATATATAAAAACACAGCGATTAAACTGCGTTAGTGGTACTCGAATTGTTATGAATTTTCGAAATTCAGATTTAAATACGTATGCGTAAAATGTCACCGTCTGGAGAGACTAAATAAAACAATTCATAATCATAATAACTTAACCCGGTATCTGTGTATGTAATATTCAACCTGAACTTTTCTTTTGTACTAAGAGTTTAAATATTTCACTAGCTCAGACCGTGGGATCCCATTGACAAATCATCGGTACTGATATTACATAACACATAAATTTTTTGACCTAAAAGCATATCATAGGTGTAATTCAAATCATATGTATGCAAACTGTACATATTGTACATACTACTTGCTGTATATTACTTGTCATCTTGTTTATGTACAAAATGTAGATATAATTGATCCGGCTTTGTCTAGTTCTCTATCCTGAAGATTTTTTTTATAAATATATTTTATTGTAGTACAATAACGCATTATGAAATATTTGTTGTGTGAGTCTTGTTGGTGTATCAAATTTTACACTGATAAATTATAGATACTGACTTATCTTGTTGGTAAAAAAGACAATTAATTATAGACATATGTTAAAGTCTATAATTACCAACGACTTTAATAGTGTACTAGTATATGTATATCTTTTGAAAGAATATCATGACGTTATGCTTTCGTTTTTTTGCGGACTCATGCATGGCGTCAACTCAGAACGGCGCTTTTATAAAACTGAAAGTGATATATATTATATGTTTATTGTGATTTTGTCTCGAAAAATAGTACATTCTATGACTATGTCTTGTTGATGTTAATAGTGTATGGTTGTATTTTATTTGCTGTCTTTGTATTGTTGATGCAAATGGGTTAATGCTGACACAAATGATTATAATGCCTAGTTCTTGCTGATGTACAATATCATATACTGATGCATATTTTTTATGACATACTTTATGTATGTACAATATCATATATGTTTTTTGTACACTGGTAAATAATTTATAAAGATTTTGCCTTGTTGATGTACAGTTCTATATACTGATGTATAATTCATGATAACTTTTTCTTGTTGATGTACACTAGTACATACTGTACATGACTTATAAAAATCTTGGCTTGTTGATGTATCCTAGAACATGCTGATCTATTATTTATGATGCTTATATTTGTTGATGTACAATTATATATACTGATGTATAATTAATGATTGCTTTGTCTTGTTGATGTACACTAGTTCATACCGATCTATAATTTCATAAAGATTTTTTTGTTTTGTTGCTGTACACGAGTACATGCTGATTTAATATATTAAACCTATGTTTTATAAGTACCATATCATATACTGATGTATAATTTATGATAACCTTGTCTTGTTGATGCACATCAGTACATACTGATATATAATTTATCAAGATATTGTCTTAGTGATGTATGATAGAACATGCCGATTTATGTATTATTTATAATGCCTATATTGTGTTTAAGTACAATTCAATATACTGATGCTTTGTGATTGTTTTGTCTGTCTTGTTGATAAGCTCAAAGGTCAAGGTAACCATGACATTTCATGTCAAATCCTTGTCTGATAGATAATTTGAGAATGAGGTCTTGGGTCAAAGATCAAGGTCACAATGAATCTTAATGTAAAATTCTTGGCAAATCAATAACTTGAGAAGGAATAAGCCATGCTGTTTGTTACTTGATAGAACATTGCTCTTAGTCCCTTAATGGCCAGGAGAAAATCCCTTTGCTTTTTATATCATTAGGTCAAAGGTCAAGGCAACAGAGGTACATAATGTAAAATCCTTGTCGAATCAATAACTCAAGAATAAATAAGCTATTGTTTATGTTACTTGATGTGAATATTGCTCATAACAAGATGACCCTACTGATTTTGAGATCAAAAGGTCAAAGGTCAATGTCACAGAGAAACTTAGAAGCATACGTGTGTATATGTGCCACTGTGACAGGCAGGTAAAGTAGGGACATTATTGTCCTATGTCACAATTCTAAGTGAACTAAGAAACTTTGGTGAACATTTTGAGTGCATCATCAGTCTTTTAGACAATAATTTTAAGAATTTTAAACAATTGAAGGTATTCACTTGAATTCTAATACATGTCTTATACGACATAGTATCTCGTGCTCATGACGTAGTTACTCGTGTCACAACATAGTAACTCGTGCGCTCGTCTTAATTATCTTGTATCTCGTGCTCATTAGTCATTCATTATGACAATATCCGTGTATTTAGCTGTACAGGACGTACTTGTAGTATACAAAATGATTGATATTACATTTTGTTTTCATACGAGTTATTTTTAATACCGTAACGGATGAACTTATTCTTCAAAATAAAATCATTTATCTGATTACAGTAACGCTTCGTTTCGTTTCGTTAATGGCCGTTTTGTCACTCCGGTATTTTAACGCAATACAAGATATAAACACGAAATATTGCATCATCTGGTACGCAGTGAACTTAAGTACTCAGGGAAACCAAAGTAGTAGTGTACTAGTTTAAGAGGCGAATTAAGGGGGGAATAATTATAAATTTCTTGTAATATGAAATAACATGGATATTGAGACTTTAATTCTTAATATAAATACAAATACATGTATATATACAATTTTAATGGGCATTTATTACGTTCTGATAAAACATCGCCCCCAGACATGCTATTCAGTAGACTTCATTCGCCTTTTAAAGTGTATATTGAGTAAATCCTCTATTGAATGAATACTGTCCATTTTCAAGAGCAAAACAAAAGGTTTGTTTTCAAAACAATACAACTGTTTTTTATGTAATACTACTTTGATTGTGTACTTAAGAAACTATATTGTCCTTGATTAAATTGATTTAAATTGAATTAAATCACCACAGAGACAATGACGTTCTGCGAAGATAGTAATTTGTTTTTATATTTATAATCTGCATATGTGATTTATTATCATAGATCGTATGATTATCAATAAAAGCACATTATGCCTTAGAAACAAATACAGTTTTAAACATTCTTTACAAAGGGAAATCATTAGTTTTATAACGTTTAAATAATGGGTTTATATACATGTATGTTAGATGTTTATACCATAAAGAAAGTAGCGCTGAATGTGAAATTATTTGTTATAAAGTAGGAAAATGTAAAAAAAATTGGAATGTTGACACTCCATACACACTTCTAAATCACTATATCTGTACTAATTGCCAGACAGCAGTAGACACAAAATATGGTTCAGGTAATTGGCCAATTAGTATCATTTTGGAAACTGTTACAGGACACAAAAAATTAAAAAAGTTTAGGGAAATAAAATTAAAAGCATTTCTGGGACATAATGAAGCTTTAAAGAATGTATTTAAAACGTATTCTTTTGTCACTTGTATGTGAAAAATATCACAAAGGATGAACTGTACAAACATATCAGGGTCTGTCATAGAGATATTTTAAATTTTTGTATTGCTTATCAAAATATCAAACAATAATTTCATTAACTATAGACAGTAAATATCTTTAAGAAATATTGTAAAAATGTAGACTATTAACTATTTATATCTTTACTTAATCTAGAATTCCAACATATAGAGACAAATTATTGTATGTTTTATAGCAGCATTATAAACAGCCACTTATAGTAGCAAAATGTTAGTTTTAGCCACACATGTACTAAAAATAAGTGAATGCTTACACACACACGTTTGTGTGTTTGTTTATCTAAGAATCATCAAGTAAAATATGTCCAACAATAGCTTGTATTGGTTTTGTTATAAAAGTTGGAAACAGACATTTATTTATAACGATATTTTGATGATTATTTGACATTATATTTAAAATAACATATGGTGTCCTGTACTCCTTTTTCAGAAATACACTGACAAATCGGTATTTAAAATGCGTTCAGACACACATTTTACATAAATATCACACACATATATAAAGCTATATTTTAATTTACATACATTTACTAAACATGAAACTTTTTTTTCAATTTATAAGTTACATTCATAAACATTTTTTTTTCAATTCCGAATGTTCGATTAGATGACATAATGTACTCAAACATTGTAGGCAAAATATTTTTGTGGTAATTCAAAATATTAATTAAAGAATGATAAAAAATGGCTCAGATTCTACGGATTGTGTTGAACGGAGTTTACAAATACGATATTTGTCTTTACATGTATATTTGTTACATGTATAGATATTCAATTACAAGTAAAGTAAGAACGAGTACATTAAGGGAATGCGTTTTAATATGGTTTGACATGTCTTTATACATTATCTATAACTGCTGTTGTCACATTATCTATGAAGTATTCAGTTACTGTTGTATTTATGTAAACGAAGGTAAATTCAAAGTTTTACTGTGGCAAGTTTTGTTTAAAATTGTTTTTTTTGTATTTGTATTTTTGTATTTGTTTTTTATTTTGTTTTTCATGAACAAATATAACCAAAATGTTCCTGAATTTTCCCATTTTAATTTTAAAGTACGCAGTTAAGTCAATGTGTATGTAAAACAGGAAAAAACATTCTATTCATAGATAAAACACAGTTAATTGATAAATACTGTGTTATCTTTGAAATTGATCATTCTTCTTCCGTTAGAATTAATACTTAGGGACCTTTTTTATTTTGGTATACTGCAGTATAGAAAGTTACTCTTACATGTTTATATCATATTATACTGTAATATACAGATGGTTGTATATATGTTCACATGTTTTTATATATTGTAAACTGTGACTCTGACAATAAAGTTTTGAATTGATTTGAATACATGAACATATATTAAAATATGTGAACAGATTTAGTCCTGTTTGAAGTGTTTTTACATTCAAGGTAATATAGATTATTATCACCTGATAAAAGTAATACTTTAAGTGAAATTATTTGTCATAAAAGTAGCAAAATATAAAAAAATGTAGTATTTTGCTGATGTTAGTTAAACTAAACCAAAAATGTGCCAATTTGAAATCAAAATTTGAAGGTACTATATCAAAACATACTGAAATACTTTACAAAAAGTAAATGTAGAAGCAACCAGAAACCAATTACTAGTGCCTTTATCCAAAAAAAAAAAAAAAAAAAAAAAACAACCCCCCCCCCCCCCCCAAAAAAAAAACAAACAACAAAAAACAACAACAACAACAAAAAAAACAACAACAAAAAACAAAAACAACAGAGAACTGATGCAGCAACCTAAATATCGGTCATATAAAATAATTTATCTCTTCTAAGAAATCGATCTGACAAATAATTTAATATAACATCTTGTCAATATATCACACATATATCTTAAATAATATAATACCTATTTTGAAATATTTTTAAATATCTTTCTACATATTAAGGTCACAAGATAACTTCAAAGCTACAGTTTAACAATATTAGGATATTGTTGGGTTGATATATACTTAATATTATGATGTTATTACTGGCATGAGTTGTTATTCTACTGCCGGACAGATTTTCCACTTTTTTGTTGTATATGCTATGTATTTTCACACACATTATATGTGTAACAAGTGAAACACGTTTTTGATAAACTTAGACATACTTGAAAAACTAGGATGAGTATATCACTGTTTATAATGTACTTCAAAGTCTATGCATAACAAATAAACAAAACAATAGTGGGTGTATGGAAATATTGGTTTAAAACATGTATACATAAATTACATAAACGCATTTCAAAATAACTTGTTTACACGAAGGAAGGAGCAGACGACAAATTGTACTTTTTATAATTAATCACACACACACACACACATTATGCATTTAATTTGATCATTGTATTGCCCTAGCATGTTCACTAATTTGCTAATTGTTTCATACTTCACCAGAAATTAAAAAAAAAACAACATAGATCTAGTAAAAAAATAATAATTTTTTTTTTTAAATAAATAAATAGAAAACTAAAAAATAAGTAATTTGATAAATTTTTACAACTCGAATGACGATATAAAAGATTTCATAATTATTATAAAATCTGAATCATAGCTAGATAAACGGATATTTCATAATAAGTTTAGTAGTAAACAACGTACATGTTTTTGGGATTTTATTAAATGCTATTTATAGATACACGTAAAAGTAGATCTACTAGTATCTTGAACTTGAGTGAAATTTACGGTCTTAAAAATGTTGATGAAAGGTAAGAAATTATCTTTTATTAAATAGATTTTGTTTTTCATTTTAATGTATCTAGCTCTACTTAGAAAAAATATTTAATTTTTCTTACAATTCGTGTCGTTTGTTGCTTTGACACTGTGACTGCCTACTGCAGTAGCAGATATTAGGCCTACTGCGTAATTTGTAAACATGACCATATTCTCATGTTTAGCTCTTCACTTAGCTTTTTTGGTATAAATGACAGCTTTGTCTCATCTTTGATCTTCCATAATTGAAAAATAGCATAAACACCTCATTTTAAATACTACGGATACAGCGTAAGTTTAATGCAAGGCCTGTCCGCTTAATGCTATGTAAAATACCAGCAAAGAGCTCCTCATTGACTTAGAATTAAAGATTTGGGCTTTTTCTTCTCCTGGTTTGTCAAGGTCACACTTCCCGGTGCAATGTTATTTCTTTTAGACGTAAACTTTACATGATAAAAGCGGTTGACTGTTACTATTGATTTTTAATCACACAAATATATTCAAGAGCCATTTTAACTCCTTCTTTTTTTATCAAGTATGAAGCAGATTTATATATATATAAACACATTCTGAAATGCATTATGTACTCGTACTCACAATCAAGAATGAGTCTTTGCATTTTATAATTATACATACACAGTTACTGGATTAACTATATATTAAGAGCTATTACGCTCGTACTGCATAATTTCACATTAGCAATTTATGTAGATAGTTTGATGTGTCTTATTCTTAATAACATCTCATTGTCTTACTGCAGATAAAACAAAAGTTGGTTTTAAAAATAATAGATAAAATCCTGACTTATTATAATGAGTTTTGAATCTATCAACATTCGAAAACTTAGACAAAGCGATTAAGGAGTTGATAGACAAACAATTGATTGTATTTTCTTTGCGTGCTAGATAGACTTCTTAATCTGTTGAGGTTCGAGCTGACAATACCAATGAAACAATGCAGCTTTTTATATGGAAAGCCTTGACTGCCTTATAATTATAAACCTTAACATTGTTATGTCCAAATAGCAATATATTGAGTCAACCTTTCCTTATACAACGTGCACTCATCAATATATTATGTGGATTTATCTCTATATGTAGTCAACTGAACAATATATGATGTCAATGTGTCTTTATATGATGTCAATATATCATTATACGATGTGCATTTTTGAATATATTATGTGGAACCATCTTTATATACGGTCAAAATAACAATATATTATGCCAGTCTGTCCTTATATGATGCCAATCTTTCATTATATGATGTGCATTAATGAATATATTATGTGAAACCATCTTTATATAGAGTCAACTTAACATTATATGATGTTAACACGTCCTTATATGATGTCAGTCTTTCATTTAATATACGATGTGCATTAAAGAATATATTATGTGAAACCATCTTTATATAGAGTCAACTTAACATTATATGATGTGTATGTGTCCTTATATGATGTCAGTATTTCATTATATGATGTGCAATTACGAATATATTATGTGGAACCATTCTTATATAGAGTCAAAACAACACTTTATTATGTAGAATTGTCTTTATATAGAGTCAGCTTAACAATATATGATACAATTTACTTTGAGTTTTCCCGCTGTCGCCACGAACGGTGCATAGTGAGATATACCCCGGTAAATTTAACCCCATCAGTATAATGACAAAAGCACACGATATAATGATGTTTGCACTTCATATAAAGCAGCGGTCGTATAACAATAGATGCACATCGTATAATGAAAGATTGACATAATATATTGATAAGTTGACTGTATATAATGATGCAACCACATAATATATTCATAAATGCACATCGTATAATAATAGGTGCACATCGTATAATGAAAGATTGACATAATATATTGATTAGTTGGCTGTATATAATGATTCTACCACATCATATATTCATAAATGCACATCGCATAATGATTCGTCGACATCATATAAAGACACATTGACATCATATATTGTTCAGTTGACTCCATATAAGGATGCATCCGCATAATATATTCATGAGTGCAAATTGTATAAAGATAGATAGATAGATAGATAGATAATTTTATTGTTTTTTGTTATACAATTGCATATACATTTACATTTATTAAGAAAGAGTGACACAACAACGTTCATTTTTACAATCATAAGACAGTCAAGGCTTTCCATATTTTTATGGCAAAACTTTAGCACATAGTAGCTAATCCAAGACTGATAACCTTTTTTTTTAGCGACAGTGTTAATGGGTTTAGTGGTTGTTGGTGTAAATGGGCAAGTAAAGAGAGCAGAATACATGTGCCATGGAGACTTGTGTAATGTGTGAGTATATAAAGCTATTAGCGGTAATCTTTATATGCATTGAAATAAGAGTAAATACGCATACTTATATATCATGTCATTCTGTCTTTTGAGTAAGATGCGTTTTTGTCCCCCTTGAAGTTTAACCTTTAATTATGAATTGGACATTAAATGTTTCAATCCTAATTTGTACAAAATTCCATTTTGATGTAAATTTATCCTTTTTTTTTATGAAATATCCTTTAAAAATCATCAAAGACCATTTTATATTTAATTAAAGGAACTCAGCTGAGGTCCACTAGCCTAAAAACATAAAATTTAAAGTCCTTACATTGTTTGTGTTTGGCACTTGAAACAGAAAGGTTTGCGAAAGATGATAAAGATAATAAATATACCTTAGAAAGATATTAAAACTCATATTTTTGTGATATCTTTTAACCCGATTTGATTAAAAAGCGTTGTAACGCTTTCAATTTTGGACTATTTTTCAATGGAAAATTGGAGAAAGCAAATGATCTGAAATTTTGAACACAAGTAAATCTAATTTGTCTAGAAATACATCAAATTGAACATGAGTCTTGAACAAATATTTCAAGTCCCGTCATGTCATAAAAACTCAGTGAAGTTCCTATAACGCAATTATATGTACATTAACTGCATTTAAAACGACTTTCATGTAAAATGCTTATTCTATTTCTATCCTATTCCTACTTTTATCTTATTTGAGTTAGTTCAAATGCCCAAATACACAATTTTTCATATAATAGACTAAATGTTTGTGCAGTTGATTAGTGCAATTTGGCATTTATTAAAATATAGATTTATACCATATTGAAGTGAAATGCTATGACATGTGTAAATACATAAATTGTGTTTATAACATTTTTCGTGACTTTTGCAATAACTTGTTATCTTAAAGAGTGAAATCTTGTTAAAAGCAAGGTTTAATTCTGAACTAAAACTGAAACTAATATACACATACTAATAGTTACATTCGAAATGTTGCTGAGCTGCATAATTAATATATCATGTCAATATTATTCTCAGAAGATGATATAGTTGATCTATGTCTGTTTTACATGTGATTAATTTTCCTACAAATAATCGTGCGTACACAACACAATGTCATTTCAGTGGTGATAAGCCTCAATTCTGCTCAGAAACTTTTAAGTTATGTAGAAATTGTGAGGATATCAAAGAGGAATGCGGCACAGCAAGTCAACCAAGGAACTGTACACAGTACTGCCAAGGTAGAAAAAGTTTAGACTAGTTCAAAGATACAAATGAAGATACTGTTAGGGAAAAAAGAATAAATTAGAAAAGTGCTTAAGAACTGTACAAAGTACTTCTAAGTTTTAATAGATTGAACTTCTACCAAGGTATAAAAAAGTAGAAAAGTATAATGCCAAGACAAGAATAATGCCGATATAAATTATAATAGTTTTTTTTAAAATACCACCAAGGTACAAACTGATAGTTTTAGATACTGAAACAAGGTAAACATCAATAGATCAGAATACTATCAATGTAAACATGATATATTATACATTTTCTTTCAAATGTTTACATGTTATTTACAATTTAATCACGGAATACAAAATACATTAGGAATATATCATATTGGTATTAGTATTTGAAAACATTGAACACCTAAGTTTATCAGATTACCTTTTAGATAAATAAAGGTCAAATATGCCATTTTTATCAGTTTATTCTATTTCTTTACGTAAGATCAAAACATCTTATTTTAATCTATAAGTGAAGGAAGAACTTTAGTGTAAGAATATTAAACAAATGATCCAGTTATATAAATTAATATAATCTGTGGTTTGTCTGATACTAGAATTAAGTCTTGTTGACAAAACAATAATGTTTTTCAATTGTAAGCAAATCTCAAAATTGTTGTTAACTTATTACAAATTATATGGAAGAAAGAAAATATAGTTTGTATGAAAGATGTTGAGAAGATATGTTAAATCAACCATATAAAAAGTGACACTTTTTCCATGTAAAGATTATTGTTTCGGCAATAAATATACTGTGTTTCTAGTCATTGAGACTTAGTTAAACATTTAACATTCATTCATTAATATCGATAAACTTATTTTTTCTACAGATTTGGCTGTTGAAAGAGCGATCACAAAAAACATGAAAGAAAATGGTAAATGATTTATACTCCTTCTCTATACAAATATGTTTTCATACAATAATATTGGTACCATGTATTGGTATTGAGTTAAAATCTTTGAAGCTGTCATTTTATAACGATCACATGTAAACAGAGACAGCAACCGTTCTCTCCTATAAATGGTTAATTTAATGAATGTATGTCAAGAATGCCTTGGAAGTGGTTTAATGTACTTATCAATAAGCGTAATATTTGTATTATATTTTTACAGAAGATTCTTGTATAGTTCTACCAATGTTGTTGAACATAGCACACGGCAATGCAATGCTCCCACCTTACAATGGTAGCCGAATTACTTCAGGTTCTGCTATTGTATATAGATGCGACGTTGATTACAGATTAGAAGGAACTGATACAATTGTGTGCTTAGGCAATGACTCTTGGAATCAAACGGCACTTCCTTACTGTTCTGATCTATCTTGGATTGGTAAGAGAAAGCTACGTTATTTTCATTGTTCTGCAATCTTTTTTATCACCTTCTAAGTTTCGGCAAATATTTTCAAATGTTGTTTTCTGCTGAAAATTAAAATAGATTGGTCTTCAATGGACACAATTTCCATAAGTATTTCAAATATTGATAAAAACAATAGATATGTATCATTTGGATATATAATATTCGAATAATGTAAATTCTTAGATTGTCTTCAAAGATTATCTTCTAATCATTAACAAGATTTAGAAAGTGATTAATCTTTACTGTGTTTATAGGTTTCAAACGTGCAATTATAGCACTCAGCATTGCTATTTTTGTATTGTGCATCATCATTGGAATCATACTAGTATACAGACACTGTAAAAAAGGAAAGGGACAAGGAATGTCAAGATCAAACACTGATAGTTCATTCGAAAGCAGAGAAATTGTCAAACCTCTGTTAGCAGCTGAAGACCAATGCATAAATAATGAAGTTGAAACATTGAAAATGAGTGCACTCAATGACGAGTCACGTGAGCAGAATGAATCAAATAAGACTCCTGTTGTCCCCACAGTACCTGCTGCTCCTTCTGCCCCACCTTTAGATGAACAGAAAGACGGTAAACAAATGAACGCATCAAGCCTACACGATGGAAACAGGCAATCTGACGACAATGGAAATGCAAACGGTCCATATGATAATATTCCTAGAAAAAATGATGCTGAAGGCATTGACGAGAAAAGGGGTACAGAAGAATCTGTTGACAGTACTGCTGCAGAAAGAGGGACTGGGAGTAACATTCACAACGATATTGGAATGGCTGAGGAAAACGCTCGTGGAAAGAAAGGAAAGGGAACAAAACCATTGCCAGGTCGTACCACTGAGAAGGTATCAGTCGGTAAAGGGCCACAAGTTATCGCAGCAAAAAGGGATAGTATAACACCAACGAAGGAGACTGAACAAGATGATGTATCCAAAAATATAGGAATTGGTGGTGCCACATTCCAAAACTCAGATATTAAAGGAAAAGGAATGCAAACTGAAATAACAAACAAGGAAGGTATTGAGTCGGCAATAAAAGAATCGGGACTGGATGATTCTTCAGCCAAAGTTGGGTTTGATAAACGCACTTTCCCAGCATCTGACATGAAAATGAATGAGCTAAAAGTTGTCGATTGAGTTACAACAATCAAAGTATAAAATGAAGTTTACTCCATATAAAAAATTAATAACACTTTGAAACTTTAATAAATGACACGTACATATTTAAACTAAGCCAAAGAACTTGTGTCATGTTAATTCTAACAATATGTAAATTGTTGTTTTTCAAATGAGTTTAAAGAGCAACAAGCAGTATTCTGTGGTCAGTTTATAAGGTATGGACTATGAAATATCATTTGGTAAAAGTACCTAGCAAGTGGTCGATGTTGTATGAGCCAAACCAAACATTACAGACCAGCAATATCAAAAGGTCCCACCGAAGGAGACTGCTCGACGAAAGCCATCCCGCCCCGGTTGACGAGTGTTGTTCAAAGAGGAGAGGATCAATCGAGCACATTAAGGGACTCACGGTTGGTGTTAAGATGTTAATTATTTGTTCCCTATAGTATAACTCCATGATATGGCTTAACATGAACAGGCACAACCAGACTAAGCCTGCAACCTTTTCAATTTTGCCGTTTTGAGAGATTCTTTAGGGATCTGTTTTGTCTTTATTTTCTTTGGTTTCTAAATGGTAATGTTCCGACAATTAGATTCGACGAATGACAGATTTTGCTGTCATAGAAAGAATGGGAACAGACATTTTCTGAGATAAGATTATTGATGTTGAAAGTTTGTACCATTATATGTCATCCCTGTTTGACTGAATCTGACAGCCGGGTCGATTGAGGGAGTGTGTAAGTGACGGGATGGATTTCTCATTTATTAGACACTTACATTAATATTTTTTGGGTACATTTTACTATAATCAAGTACAGTTGTAATTGTCATTATGTTGTTGGGACATTCACCATGTGTTCTTTGGTGTTTGGTTTGTGTAATGATTGTGTATATTTTGTTTATTTTTAAAAAAATATGAATTGAATGTAAATGGTTCAATTATCACAAATTTTGAGCGGCGAGTTTGAATTGTCACGAATTTTAAGTGGCGAGTGTTGATTCATTCCACAACAATAGCACACTAATTTGCTTTACGGATAGTACAAAAATTGGTCCGAATGAATACCTTATATATACCTTACAATGTTTTGAGAAAACAGCTCATAGATAAATATTATTGGAAAAAACCAAATATACCAAAATTTATTGAATTGTTAACATCTCAAAATGAAAATACTATAAGAAAATTATCAATGTTTATCTTTAAAATGTTTGAATTAAGAACAAATGTTGAATATTCGTAAATTATAGTAGCTAGGAAGGTAAATGTAATGTTACTTAATTGATATCATTATGCAAAACTTGTGCTTCATTTAAACCTTGCTGTAATATGATTATTCTGTTCATATTAAACCAAACTTATGTCTCAAATATACAGTAAATGTTAAATATATGTTATATATGTTTAATGACCTTGATATTATGTTTCTGTATGTATGTATGTTTGTATGTATGCTGTGTACTCATGGGTATAATACCCACATGTATTTGGAATAAAATCTTGAATCTATATTTTCGGAAAATTAACTTTGTTTTCAACAGAAAAGTTTTAGATAAAAGACACTGCTTATTTGTTGTGCTTTTCGGCTAAATGATACTAGTATGTACTGCTTACATAACCTCTTTTTAAAAAAATGAATAAAATAGTGCGGCTATCCCTTTTGTGAAATAAACCTTACTGTATATGCATATATCATCATCTTCCATTTTTATTGTTACATACTTGTACAAGGCATGCATGTGCAACAGAGTATTGTTGCAGTATGTTTGTATGTCTTAACAAGTAAGTTACTAACTTCAAACAATTACATTGTATTTCCTTACTTATTGTAAATAATGCCAGTCTTGTGTACGATTTAATTATCTGTGTTTAAAAGAGAAATTTCATTTTGTAAATACAATTTTGTAGCATTTCTTGGATGTATTTTGGAATTGAAAGATCAATATAATGATCATGATAATTTTGTACTACGCTAGATACGCCTTAGCCTGGGCGCCAGGATCATCATCAGATTTATTGATTGTTTGATTTTTGAAGTTGTCATTTTGAGATATTGTCCACCTTAGCTTATTGTAACTTTTTTGCTTAATCAACATATGAAATGCTTTAAATGAAATATTGTTGATTATGCTTTTTTGGTCATTTTTTTTGTTTATCTTTACGATAGCTTGCTTTTACTTATTATTATATTTTTTTTAATAAATAATTCAAACACTTAACTTTTTTTTAAAAAGTCTTAACGCAAATTAGTAACATACATTGATTGTAATTTTATCATAGTATTCTAAATCAATTTCATTGTATGACATTGTTTAAAAATTCACATAAAATACCATAGTTTTTAAACAACTTTTAAAGAAATAAAAAACTGGAACAATAAATTGGAAAGATCCCAATGACATATTTTTTTGTATATAATTAAATATCATTTGTGTTAGTCTTTTTTCTCTGTGTAAAAAGTGTATCCAAAAAAGTGCTTAATAAACATGTAGCTTTACAATGTGTTGTGTATATTTCTTAAACAAAACAAAATGAAAAATAAAATAAATAAACAATAAATAAATTAAATTGATGATGCAAATGATGCAATTAAAAAAAGGAGTTGTGCATTAAAAAAAGAGTAGCGCAATAAAAAGAATGAATCATGTTATAAATAAAGAATTATGTATGCTACTTATTATGATTTTGAAATTGTTGTCAATCTCAGAAACCAGAAGTAACACATGGACAATGTTTTATACGGAATATGTCAATGGAGAGCTGCACTTCTTTATTTGTAATGAATAAAAAGCGAAATCAAAGTTGAAAAATTGATATTCCAGAAAAAAAAACAACTTACATGTATGTATTGTTATATAAATAAATAATGTTCAAATTAATACTGTATACAACAGTATTAGTTTAATTGTCTTAAAGTGATATCATGTCCATTCAAGTGTAAATAGTGAGTAAACAGGTGAAAATAAGATTACATTTTGCCATAATTCCTTTCAATTTTATAACTAACTTCAAGCGATTGTTAAAAAATCACGTTGCCCAACGAAATTTCTATAATATCCATCGAGTTTACCGATAATGTTCAATTTATAAAAAAGAGTGGTTAAGTCTTTCTACTTTATTTTAACATTTTTAAATCGGCTGTTGGTCAATCACTATTATAACAGTCAATCTTTTGAAATATATACATGTAGTTAATTCAGCTCAACTTGACAATGAAAAGATGGGCATAATGTCACCGTAAGGTCATCATGCCTCAGAAATGCTTGTATTCTTATTTCCCAACAACACTTTTTAGCTTCCAAAAGTTATTCATATGTCAATTACCTAAACAATCATTTTAATCTGTTGCTTTTTGGCAATAAGTACAGTTATAGTGAATTAGTATGGAAGCCAAAATACAACTTTGTTTACATGTTACTACTTAGTCTTATGTGAGAAATAATTTCATATATATCGCTACTTGAGCTTTTACGTGTAGATGAAAGTCCGCCGTTAGTCGTCTGTCGTCCACATTTAATTCGTTAACACTCTTGTATTGGCAACATGTTTGTCTCAATAGTAACGAAACTTAGTCAGGATATTTGCCTCAGTATTAAACCGAACGCGGTTGAAAAACTTGGTCACATGATCCCCTCCCCAAAAAAAAAGAAAACTCATAATAACGTATTAACACTCCAGAGGCTACAGTTTCAGTCCAAATATCTTAGACATTTATCTGAAAGACTAAATCAAATAGTGAATAAATACATAAATACACAATGTAAATGAAATTTAAGAGCAAATAGCTGAACACAAAGCATCGGTCTTGAATCAGTAATTCTCTAATATAACAAGGAAGCATTTTGAATGGTGTGCGTCATCTTGTTCTTTCAATTGTACTAATAGTTGTTATGATATATTTAAAACTGCGTATTGAAGAACGCAAAAAAATAGTGTATCCAAGTGAAGATAAAGTAACGGATGTTAACGAATGAACCATTTTCTTTATGTTTTACATAATAATAATAATAATAATAATAATAATAATAATAATAATAATAATAATAATATCTGTCATATGTTACGGTTCGGATCGAATATCTGTACCGCGGGGACCGCCCCTTGGTCGATAACGAGGCATGCCGAGTTTTTCTTGCATATTCTACCATATTCAATCATACATGTACTTGAATTCTTAAGCTTAAAAAACAAATTTCTATCCGAAACTATTTTCTTACATTAACGTATGAAATTATAACTTCATTCATAACGGCGAAATTAGGTCATCCTAAGCATGCCATTGTATAGCACGCGACTCATGAATCAGTAATTCGCTAATATAACAAGGAAGTTTTTGAGTGGTGTGCATCATCTTGTTCTTTAAATTGCACTTGTAGTTGTTATGATATATTTAAAAATGCAGTTTGAAGAAAGCAAGTTTCTTTAAATTGTACTATTAGTTGTTATGATATATTTTAAACTGCGTATTGAAGACAGCAAGTTCCTTTTTATTGTTTCCGGCTAAACAGGATACAAACAACATACGTAAGTGTTTGTAATGACGTCAGTTGAATGACCTGTACTGAGATACGTTCAAGTGTTAGAGGACAAGTGTTAAGTGAATGTGATCTCATAATAGCGAAACCGTTACTTGTTTGTTTGATTGATTGATATATTTGAAGTACGGTAAAAATATATATATTATGTTGACAGTATGTTGAGATAATAATGATAATAATAATAATAATAATAATAATAATAATAATAATAATAATAATATCTGTCATATGTTACGGTTCGGATCGGAATATCTGTACCGCGGGGGATCGCCCCTTGGTGGATAACGAGGCATGCTGATTTTTTTCTTGCATACTCTACCGTATTCCATCATACATGTTTTTGAATTCTTAACCTCAAAAAACAATTTTTATTGGAAATTTATGTCATTATATCCGTATCTATTTTCTTACATTAGCATATGAAATTATAACTTCATTCATAACGGCGAAATTAGTTCCGGCTAAGCAGGATACTTAACAGACAATATATACGTAAGTGTTTGTAATGACGTCAGTTGAATGACCTGTTCTGATCAGTATTTGCCATTGTATAGCACGCGACTTATCTGGTATTCCCCATGCCAGAATAAATTTACGGCACGGAAACAGCAAACTTTCGTATTTAATGTCCTTTTTTAAACCTCCATCACATCGGACTTGCGACATTACTGCCATCCCTGGGCGTCTAGGACGCCATAGAAACACCATGGACGCCGTAGGGCCGAGTTGAAAACGATTTTAGTCGAAGCAAGGACCCAGTAAACACCTATAACGACACGGAGTCACGGCTACTATTTTGAAAATGGGCAAAACAAATTGTGTCCTGGGCTAAAACGCCCGAGGACACAATAGTCGCAGTAAAAACCCTTAAACACACCAAGCACGTAGAAAGAACTTACTATGTATTTGGGGCGGTGATAGAAATAAACCAATGAGATAGAGTACTGAAACGAAATTCCCTTAACCACGTGATCTATTTTTGGATAGGCTATCTGTCAATCTAATGCCCCTTTGAAAAGCTATTGAGTGCAGTTCCCACGGTTTCGTAATTAGACACTTTTTTCTTTTCTATCAAACGGTAGTTAACATTTATTTTTGTTTAGATAAACGAAAACTAAAAACTGTATTTTTTTAAATATGATATATCAGCTTACAAACATAAATCTATATTGCTGTTATATACGTATTTTTTGTTTTGTGAAAGCATCACAGTGACCCATTTCTTTTATATGTTTACATATTTGATTTGCTCATGTTTTTGTGTTTTATACAAACTGAGTGTTACTGTAAATAAAATGAAAATTGAAAAAATGTACATGCCGTATAGTCAGCGTATATACACACAATGTTAGCATGTAGGCGACACTAGCGACACTAGGGCGTTTGCAGTGCATCTTGGTAGTTCTTAATACTATAAAGGCGTTTCCAGGACGTGGTACAGTCGCCATATTGACCTCCACTTGAACGCAAAAGTCGCTGGAAGTCGTAGTGCACACTCCAAGAACGCACTGAAGACCCTGTGGGGTGGCATATAAACGCCGTAAGAACATTTTAGTTACGCTTTATAAACGACGTGCAAACACAGTACAAATTTCAAGAACGAACTGGCAACGTACATAGCAGGACGACGCAGACGGCTAACGGAAGTTTGCAAAAAATTGCAAAATTGAAAAAACAAAACAAACACACACACACATCTGGGTTCTTTACAGATAAAAAATACTGGAACAAATTGCAATAAGAATGCCATGTTGATGTGGTCGATGTGACGGGGGCATTATAGTCTATCTTTAAAGTGCTGTTTTCATATATATGTATTTGGTGGTATTCGTCATGTGATCTTTTCAATCGCGTTATAAAATCATCTAAATATTCTTGTTGAGAAAAATCATTCTGTAAAAGGTTCCGAATTGTGTAACATATTTACAAGAAATGTGTAATTGTTTATCTGCACCCGGTAATCAAAATCATGTACATTTTGATTAAAAAAGAATTTATTCTTGCTGAAATTGTGATCATATGTAATTCATCCGTTTTCAGATATAGTTCGTCTACGGTGAAAAGACTTTTGTATGTTGTTTTTATTTTTTCACTGCGAGCGAAATTTTCAAATTACAATATACAAATACACATCAATATTTTCAACAAGGGCGCAAACGTACAAGAAACGAACATGTAAGAAAAGTTACATGCCACTTCTAACGAGCTACAGTCTATATAAACAAATTTATTTCTTACGTCGCATTTTTTATTTTACACTAGTTTGACAAGTAACGCATACTTTTTTATAATGTTATTCATCAATCAAGTACCTCTTCATTTGTTGTGCGTTATTTCGAATTCTTTGTTAAATATTTAATTGCATAGAACGAGAACAAAAATTTTATATCTCATTCAATTTCAAAAAGTGTGATATGACATATATTTAAATGATTTTTTTTACAACATCTCACCGGAAATCATAAGATAAATAATAAATATCTTAACAATAAAGCCAAAATATGTTAGAAGATAATCAGTATTATATACAGAAGAAACAGAATGAGTGAAATTGATGTTTTATTTCTGTATGGAACATTCATCATGAGCAATTAAACGTACAAGAAACATTTAAAAGACTTTTTACATCTGTGGGCTGAACAGGTAAAACAAGCTTTT